TGGCAACCACTAATCAATCTACTTTCTGTTTTTATTGATTTACCTCTTTTGGACATTTCACGTAAGTGGAATTATGCAGTGTCACTACACCCACCTCTTGCCTTTCACCTTTATTATCTCTACAATAATAAATACAACTATATCTATAGTAGTTGCTACAGTCCTGGCCCCAGGCCTGGTGGCTGCAGAGCCAGAACCATGAGGACCTGGAGGTGGAATTCGCTTTCTGGACCCTGACTATCCTTCACATCAGCTTCTCTGTCTCGTGCCCCTCAAATTGTGGAAACCTTGTTACAGTCAGGCCTTCACACAAGTGTCATGTCGCTATTGCTTACAAACATGGTGTTTGGCACGGTTGGGTATTCCTATTTTATAAATAAAGCATACTTATAAATAGAATATTATGTATCACATATTATTAAATCTTTATTTAGAAATAAAGCATAAATATTTATATATTATAAATGAATCTGCAATATAATTTTAGAGGGCTTGTTTGTCCAGATTGCATTAAAAAACATGTACTGAAGCTCATTTTGGTCAGTGCCAACATAGGTGTATAGAGGAAAATCAAATTAGTTTTATCAAGGACCTCACAGTCTAGCATGGAGAACAGATGGGCAGGCTCATCAATGGACTAAGGTCTATACATAGAGTCGTTCCCTTCAGAGAGGACAAGGTGACTATTCAGGAGGTAAGGGATGTGAGTCAGGCATTTCTGGCATTGAAGGAGGCCAGTCTGTTTGGCAAGCAACTGTGGGTCACCCAGTTCTGTGAGCAGGGGCAGGAGGTGAGGCCAGGATGGTTGAAGGCCTCAAACGTAGGACAGAGAACTTGGGCTTGAGGCTCTTGGAGCAGCTGAGGCAGAGAGTGGCCTGGCCAGATCTACACTTGTGAAAGGTCTTTCTGAGGCCAGTACTGGTGACTATAGGGAGACCATTATAACCAAGGCTGGCCTAACCCCAGGTTCTTCTTGTCGGAACAGTGCTGAGGATCCAAGTGCTATACCTGGGAGAATAGAAGCGACAGACCTCACCACTGTATGCCAGTTGTTTTCGCTGCATACCTCCCCCCCACCAGCAACCTCCTCTGCCCGCCCCCCCCCCCCCACATACATACAGAACAAGTCCCAGGTTTGAGGCTTCCACCTCCCTGACTTGGTTTGCATCAGTTGGGAGTGGGATAAAAAGGACAAAACACTTAGAACTAGGCTGCGTGTGCCAAGGAGCTTGTGGGGAAGAGAGTCAGAGACACATTGCAAATGAGGTGTCTGGTGCTCCACAGAGGACAGACACCCCCTCACACCCCTTCCCATTTGTTGGAGTGTGGCCAGAAAACCAGACTCTGATCTTCCTCAGGGCCTTAAGTGGGGAGACATGGAGGATATGTGAGCTGCTTGCTCTTGTATAAACCCCTTGGTTTGGCCATCATTTGAAAGATGTCCTACTGTTAGACGTCCTACTGTTAGTCACCTTAGGGCTGGTAACTGGCCTCCAGTGTTGGCGCAGAGTCCTGGATCTTCCTCCCCTCTCAGGAGGTCAGTGATGCCTGGAGCATCTTCTAGTTTAGCCAGGCCGGTTCTCTTCACCCTGCCAGCCTCCTTTCTGCCCTGGGATAGGAGAGAAGTGTGCCCAAAGCTTTCTTTCCATCTTCCTGTGACAAGCGTTCAGGGAAGATGTATTGAATAAGCTGTCTTCTCCCCACCACCACCAGTGTGCGGTGGAGAGTGTGTCAGTGCTAAAAAACAAGAGGCAAAGTGCTGGGGTTGTGTGCTGGTCTGGGCCCTCGATTCATGGGATCATCTCTAGTCTGATGACAACTCTGTAGGATGAGGCATTTCTTTATTGTGGTGTAAAATACACATGACATAAAATTCACCATTTTAACTTAACTCTTTTAAAGTGTACAGTGATATCTAGTACATTCATAATGTGTGGTCATCACCACTATCTAGCTCCAGAACTTTTTTATCACTCCAAACGGAAATTCCATACCCATTAAACAGTCACTCCTGGGTCTGTCTGTCTTTGTGCAAGTCGGCTCCCGCCCCCACCCCCAATCTCTAGCAATGATTAATCTGTTTTCTGTCTCTGAGGATTTGCCTGTTCTGGATAGTGCATCAAAATTAAATCATTAAATCATGTAATATTTGTCCTTTTGTATCTGGCTTCTTTCGTGTAGCACAGTGTTTTCAAGGTTCATCCTTACTGAAGTATTTAATTCTTTTTATGGTTGAGTAATATTCTGCTATATGGCTAGACCACATTTTGTTTATGCATCTACTGATGGACATATACTGATGGGCTTCACTGAAAGGTGGACACTTCATGTCCTGCCTGGTGTGTACTGAGCCCCCAGTTCCTGACCGTGTCAGACATGCTGGCTGACTGCTGTCACCAGTGTTTTTCCTACTGAAGTCAGTTGTGGCATGACCAAAGATAATATAGAATGCATACCTACAGGGAGGATATTTTCCCATAGTTTTCATTTCACACGTGTATATGGATGCGTGCATTCATCCTATATGAAATGCGCAGTTCTCTGTCATGGTCAGATGACTTTGGGAAATACGTGAACTGTTGCAGGAACTCAGTGGATGGGGTTGGGCTTCACCTTAAAAGGTTCTTTCTGATATTGAGATTTTGTGAGTACCTCTTTGCCAAGGGGCAAAGCCTTTGTTTTTGTGGGACTCTTGTTTTCCCATCCGAATGAGGGAGTAGAAAGGGGGCCACAAAATGAACGGTTCCCATTCCACCCAGGTCTCTCATATTAGCTGCCTCTAGTTTCAGAAGCACAGCTGCCAAAATCAGAGCCCTCCACTCCTCACCCCCTCAATGGTTGAATGGCCCCTCTCTGTGTTTCTGTCCTGCTTTCCTCTTCTTTCCCTCTGGCTCTGGGAAGAGTGCCTTCCTACATGCCCAGAATCCAACAAGAAATGAAGGAAGCCTGTTTTCCCTAAAGCGCACCTCCTTGGGACATGGGTGGGCATGGAGGTTCTCAATGTGGTGAAGCTGCTGTCACAGGATTTCCTAAGTGGGCCTGTGACAGGTGCCTCACCTGCAGTGGGCAGAAGTTCCCTCGGCCTCTTGTGGGCCAGTGGGCAAATGGTAAGTAGGAAGGCTGGGTTCTCAGCAGAATGTGGTCATATCCCTGGAAAGGGTCTTGTGCCCTCCTGCTTGGTCACCTCATGCTTAAATCATCATTAGCCATTTAGCAGCTCTGTCATGTAGGCTGGTGCACTACAGAGGCCAGAAGAGGTCCAGAGTTCCCCAGATAGCTAGAGGGCTATTGGTGACATTGCCAGGCAAGGACTGAACCCATAACTTGGCAACATAGCAGAGCTGGTTGGCCTGCAAACAGCCATCACTTTTTCAGAAAATGAAATGAGCAAAAGTAGGTAATGTTCAGCCTTGTGGAAGGCCTGGATTCCTACCCTCTGGAGATGCAGAATTAGGGCAGGGACGTAGTTGGACAGAGCTGGCTTCTCTGCTGACAGCACTGGGGGTGAGGAGTTTCCTTGCTGGATTTGGGCTACAGCCTAGATATTTGCCCTTGCTCTCCTAGCACAAGGCCCAGGCAGGCACGTGGGACTTGGATTGTTAAGGAGCAGCTCTCTCTTGGTGCTGAGAATGGAGATGGGTATGGCTTGCTCCGGCACGGCAACGGAGGCCTGACTCAGGCCTGGGGGCTGTGTGGATACCTCTGGTTGAATTTACCCAGCTCTGTGCATGTGGGAGACATAGCTGAGGGCAGAATAGTGAGGGGGCAAATAGTGGGGTGACAGTATTGCTAGGCTTGGAAGGTTGTGGGACCAAGTGTAGCATTCAGTAAGCACACAGGACAGTGAGAGGCATCCTAGAGGTGCTGCTGGTAGACACAGAAGGCAATGTTTTCATGGCAGCTCTCGGTGTGGACCTGAACTAGTTTCCTTCCGTTAGTGACTGCTGCTCTCTCTGCTCCCTTTCCTGCAGATGTAATAGGACTAGACAATGCCTGCCTCATGGTAAGCCATATTTAAGTGGGCATGGAAGAGGTACTTGTGAGATCCTGACACACAGGCATTGAATAATGTTCATTTCCTTCAGTCCTAGCTTGTTATGCCCTTGCCTTTTATTGACACTTCTGGAAGGAGGTAGAGCCCTCCTTTTGCACACAGAGAAGCCTTGCCGAGCAGTTGGTAACAGAGTCCTGTGATCATATCCAGCTTCAGGGCTGGCTGGGATATCTTGTCTATAGTTGGTGGCCATGTGCCCAGTGAAAACAATGGCTGTGCAGGAATGTCCTCTCGGTTAACCCTTCACTTCAGTAGGTATTTCTTAAAGTCTTCTTTTCTTGTTTTTGGTGTTCTGTCCCTAATTTCAATGTGTAATCACTTTGCTGTCAGAAAACGAAAAGAAGTTACTATTTGTTGTTCCAGCGCTAGCTAGGCAGCCTTGCAGGCCGAGAAGGTGATGGTAGTTCACTTGCCTCTGGCGGGCTTGGCCTCCAGCCTCCCAGCCTGCCTTCAAGGATGTGGCTTCTCTCTGGCCCTGTCCTTGCCTCTAAAAATAACCTTGCTATTTTGAAATCACCCCCTCTGGAGCTTTTTTTTTCACTGCCTTCTTAGATGAGTAACCTCTCAAAGACCAGGCTTTTAGCTGCCTCTGTTCTCCCAGCTGTCCTCAGGGAGTGGTCCCCTTCCTGTCTCTCCTCCTTCCCCATTACCAGCTGGGATATTGTTTTCCAGGGAGGAAGGAATGTCCAGCTGGGTATCCTCTGAGAAGAGCAGGCCTGTCACCCTCCTTCCGGGGGTGGGGGACAAGTAGGGAGTGGAGCTTTGAGGGTCAGGGTGAGGCAGAGCACACCCTGTGCCTCTCTTGTAATTGGGGGTCCATGCTCAGGTGCTTGTCATGAAGCCACAAGAGTCAGAAAGGGCTTGGGGATGTGGGGATGGTTCATGCTGCCTTAACTGCGCCTCTTCAGAGCTGGTTTCTGAGTGTCCCTGCCTCATCTTCTTGCAGCCCACAACCCTCCCTCAGGGCACCATCAACATGAACCAGTGCACAGATGTGGTGGACGGAGAGGGCCGGACGGGCCAGAAGTTCTCCTTGTGCATTCTCACGCCTGAGAAGGAGCATTTCATTCGGGCAGAGACCAAGGAGATAATCAGCGGGTGAGTCTGTTCTGCATTTTGGGAGGCGGTGCTCCCTGTCCACCAGCAGGGCCCTGGACTAGGTTCTTTTGGCACAGTTGAGTGGCATTTCCATCACTTTCTTCCCTAAGTACGTCTGCTTTTCTGAGTCCCCTCTCTCCACTTACAGACAGCACCACTATGCCCAGTCACCACACCAGAAACTGGCTTCACCTTCCATTGCCTTTGCTTCATCCATGTGCACCCACTTGCCAAGGCTGCCCCAGGGTCCTGCCTGCTTGGAGCCTCTCCTCTGCTGGCACAGACCTGCTTCTGGGGCTGCCATGCCTTCCTTAAGCCTCTCACTGGTTTCCCTCCTTTCTTCTCACTACACCTTAACCTTCCATCACTCGACCACAATGGGCTGAGTCTTAAAGCACTGTAATTTTGCCTCTCTCCTACCTAAATCCTATTACCTGGGGGTCAAGTCCAAGTTCCTTGGCTGCCCTGGTGACTTTTTCCAGCCCTCCAGCCTCACTCCCTCCACCCTAAGCACTGAGGTGCTTGTCACTATACATTCCTCAGCTGTGCCCCGTCTCTGTGTCCTCAGTCTGAAATAATCCCTAGACATTTAGGCTATTAAAGTTGACTTGAGTGTCCACTGTTCCAGGAAGCCCTCTCCTGCAAGGTGTTTGGCTCCATCTGCTGGCTCTTATAAAAGAAAAAGATTGTGTGCACATCTGCTTCCTCAGCCAGGGCTAGGCCCTTGACAATGGAGGCCACGTCGTGTTTGTCGTGCCCAGTGCCCACTCACAGGAGTCATTCCAGGGCTGCTGTGCATACTGGCTCTTTTGTCCAAGTGGAAGAATAGAAAGTCTCTGGGTCATCACTGCCCTGAGCATACCCCTATGCAGAGGCTTAGGGAAAACCCTAGGAAGTGGAAAGAGGGCCCAGGTTTTCAGGTAGCTGACAGTCCAGAAGGGCTGAGCTTGGGCTCCTGAGCCCTTGCAACATCTGCCTTCTGGGAGTGTCTGCTCCTGGGATATCTGCTATTGGCTCTGTATGGTCCAGCGCATGTGGTACAGGCACAGTGAGCATGTGTGGCTGGAGCACAGGCACTGGGTCTTAGAGAGGATTCACTCATCCTTTAAGGCAGAGAAGAGAGATGAGGCTGAGAAGGCTTTTGGAGGAGTAAATCTGGGTTGGGCTGAGGGTAACCCCTAGCTCCCACTGATTCCTATGATTCCCCACTCCCAAACTTACTTTCCTGGCCACCAGCTGTCACCTAAACAACTAGCACACCCTCCTGAGGCTGTCCCAGAAGGCCATTGGCCAGGCCTCTTTCAACCCCAAATTAAAGAAGTACCTCTGAGTGCTAACAACCCCAGCCCTTCTCTGTGTCCCAGCTTGGAGTGCCAGTGGTCACAGTAGCCTCCAGCCAGGGTGCTCCCAGTGCAGACTCTACCTCACATTGCAGCTCAACCCCACAACCTGGCCCTGGTCACAGGCTAGCAGCAGACCTAATCTGGAACCTAGTATTCTGGGAAGAAGTAGACCAGTGTTTCTGCAGTACCATCCCCTCTGGAGAGAGCCCTGGGCCATTCTTCACCACCACGCCCTCTCCTGACCTCCATTCCTCCTACCCCTCTTCCTCTAACCCAGATGTTAACAAACCTCCAGTGAGGCAGGCAGTGGTCATATCAGGGCCTAATGTAGACCCTGGTTCCAGAGACGATGACTGAAGCTCAGGGGCTAGGAGACATGCAGGGTTGTGATTACAGCATAGCAGATACCAGATGAAAGCCCTCTGCTCTTCCTATGCTCCCCTGCTGCCTGTCCTGATACTGATCTGAGTGATCTTTTCAGCATGTGGGTTCCTGGGCAGTTCTGCAAGGCTTCACCATGGCCAAGGTGCCCAGTGCCCTCACCGTACGACGGGGACTCCCTCCCCACAAAAGGGGAATTTATAAAAAATTACGTATCCCTACATGTTCAAACTGCAGTCACCTTCAAAGTACTCTCCATTTGATGCACTATACCTATCAAGACGTTTTTCCACTCCTCAAAACAGTTTTTGCACTTGTTGATTTTGATGCCTTTTAGTGCTTGTGCCATTTTTTTTGTTTCACCTCTTCCACAGTGGCAAAACGTTTCCTACTGAGGACTTTTTTTCACCTGAGGAAACAACCAAAAAAGTATCTCAGGGCAAGATCAGGTGAATAGGGAGGGTGGAGCATGGGGGCCATGCCATTTTTGGTCAAAAACTGCTGAATACTCAGCATGGTATGGAGAGGTATGCTTATCAATTACCTATCATGAAATGGGCAAATGAGTCTTCAAAAAAATTCACTGAGGTCAAACGCAGCCTCTCACAACAACACTAGTTGGTATACTGATACAGATGGGTTCCTAGAACACTTGCCTAGCAGGGGAAGCCTGTGCTACAAGGGGCCTGCTAAAAGATCATTCTTGGGGTTTTAGGGGTTCCCTCTCATATAGGTATGGCCCAGAGGTGGGCAAATGGGTGGAGGAGGTCAGCTGCTTGCTCAGCCCCTGAAGTGACCTGCTGTGGGGAACTTTTGTTGCAAGTCTCCTTATTTCTGCTTTGAGAGCCCTAAATGGCCCCCAGTTGCAACCCAACTGTGCGCTAACCAAATCCATTCTGGAGGACAGTTACAGGATTGGGTCTAAGCCCTGAAGATAAGGACAGTGATGGAAACAGTGACATGTCTTGCACTCTGAGGCCAGTGATCAACCCTGCCTCTCCACCTGGGTGGAGCTCACATCATCTCTGACCACATCATCACAGTGGTCATTGCAGGGTCAGCATCCAAGCCTGGTCTCAGCAGTCTGTGTCTATCCTGCCTATGCTGCTGGCACTTCCTGCTCTGGCAGTGGCAGGCTCTAATCTGAGCTGGTATGAAACCTGGCCACAGGGTGAAGCCTGGACCCACACAACAAATGCTTGGACCACTCATCAGAGCAGGGTCCTAATCCCTTAAGAGCAGGGATCTGACCTCCTCTCTTCTCTTTTCTCCCCAGATGGTTAGAAATGCTCATGATTTATCCCAGGACCAATAAGCAGAACCAGAAGAAGAAGCGGAAAGTGGAGCCTCCTACACCACAGGTAGGTAATGGGTTTGCTAGATAGCTTCCCTGAGGTGAAGCTGGGGAGAAGTGAGAACACTCTGGGAGGTTAGAAGGCCTCATGACCCAGCTGAAAATGGGGGGTTGAGGAAAGCGTCAGGTGAGAGCTGAGGAGGTCATCAGCCAGCATGTCCCCCCTTCCTCCTGATGGCATGTAGGCTACATGCTCCTCTCTGAGCCACAGGGAAGGATCCATTACTGGGACAGCATGGGTGGTCTGCTTGAGTGCTTGGGGCTTCCCTAGGAGGTTTCCAGTGGGGAGGGGGCGGGGGGCAGGTGCTGAGGATCAGTAGTGCACAGCATGTGTCCCTTCTGCTATCTGTCCTGCCTGCTGCTGGGGCGGGGGCGGGCAGAGAACATGCTGGGAGGGGCTGCTTGCTGGCTCCTGAGGTCCCAGCCTCCTCTACTCTGCCCCTCCCAGGGTTTCTTCATTATGCCCCTTGCTTTCCAGAGCATTCTATTTGAGGCCACTAGTTTCTGGAAGCTGAACTGTTATCAGGGTTCATGCTTCTTGTAAGGCTGTCCCATGGGGTGATGTGGGCCTCTCCAGAGGAGAGTTGGGGGATCTCTGGGCTGGCTTGCCCTCCACAGCCTGGAGCTAAAGGTATTCTGGTGTCAGATGGGACTATGGGGGAAGCCTAAAGCCTTAGGGGCCCCTATGGAAACAAGAACCCAGGACCACACACTCTGGCCTCTTTTTCCATGGCCCTGGTTAGCTTCAGATAAATCAATGGGGAGCTAGAAGCATTCTCTGCTGCACCCTGCTATCTGGCAACTCAGGCAGAGAGCCCAGGATTCCCCTTCAAGAAGTGTCGCAGGCAATTGGAAGTGGGAGCTACAAAGAGTACAGGCACCCAGTGGTTTGCTGAGAACATCAGAGGGCGCACAGCCTCTGGGCCATGGAGGAGGCAGGAGGAGGAGAAAGGCTTGCCCAACCAGAGCCTTTGAAGCCTGGGTCTGGAAGGCATGGATTCCTGGGAAATGCTTCTTATCGGGGCCCTGTTTACTCCAGGAGGAAAGACTTCTGCTTTTCTTGGTGCCAGGAAATCTAGAGAAGGAACAATAATATACTCTTTGTATGACCAGGACAGGGAGAATGGAGATCTTACTGTCCTCCCCTCAAATTCCAGAGCTGGGAGACCAGGGGCCATGTGTTTCCCTAGCCAGGTGTGTAGGCTGGGGAGGGGGCGGGCTTTATCAAGTAGGGCTCTGGAAGGCTGGCTCCTTTGATCCACTCAGCTCTTCTCAGACCACCTGTGTTGTGAGGTGCCACCTCTTCTTAGGCATCTTCTTTTCTACTTGGGAGCCTACTACTACACCCTGCTCCAGGTCAGAGCCTTTCCTCCCATTGGGTCAGTTTTCATGCCTTGGAAGTAGAAAGGAAGGCTTTCAATGAAACCCCCTCCAAAGAAGGGGTCTGCTTAGCACACAGAGGATGCAGAAGCCCCCTTCTTACCCTGTTTTGTCGTTGCTCCCTGCTATGAAAACCCTTTCTGAGCAGCCAGATAAACAGCATAGACTATCACAGTGTTGACAGTCCTGAGCAGTGCAGCTGTCCCAGCCACACAGGGACTAACACATAGAAAACCTAGTGCTTCCACTCCTTCCTCTTGTACAAGCAGCCAGGGTGTGGGTCAGCATGAACCTCAGCATCCTCTTTGCCACAGCAGTGACAGTGTGGGGGGCAGAGGTTGGCACCATGCAGCCCTGGCCTGGCTGGTACCTCATCTTACCCTCCACATACCTGCTCTGAGAAAGAAAAGCAGTGTTACCCAGAGACCAGACTTCCCCTCATTACCCACCCTCTACTGGAAGCCAGTGTGGCTTTGTTCCTGTTGCCAGACTGTCCCTCTGTTCCTGCTCACTTGGCCCAGAGGCAAGAGGAAGCAGGACTACCACAGGAGAAAAAAACTCCCCATGGACCTTGGCCACTGTTCAGAGCCCTCATACTCTGGGAAAATCTACCAGAAGTGGGGAGCATGGGCAGGGACCTGTAGCTGCTACTGGCCTTACACAAGGTGGGAAACCCAGGGCCAGATCTGGGTCTATAAGCTGTTTAGTGCTTATGTTGCCTAAGTGCCCAGTCACGGCCTCTTGGATCTCAGGCCTGGACTTTTCTCTCTGGAGATCCCTATCACCCTACTCCTCCCCAGTGCTAGGGTCATCCCAAGCATCAAAGAGGGGTGTGCATGTGCCACAGGCACTTTACCAACAGGGTGGGGCTCAGGGTACTGGCAGCCAGGGCCATGGCCCTCATGGGCACAGCCGCCTGCTCCCTACTCTTTGGCACTTTTTGGCAACCTCTGCCTGTCCTGGTCTAGCATCCCTTCCACAGAGGGGATCGATTCGCCAAGAATGGTCTTCACATTACCCCTGCCCAGCTCTGCAGGAGGAATCCAACTCCACCCTAAACCCACTAAAGGCAGCCCAGCTTCTGGTTTCTGGCCTTTGGGGCAGAAGGCCCTGGGTTGCTGAGAGGGGGCATGGCATGGAGTAAGAGGTCAGTGTGCTGACTAGAGAGACAGGTGGCCCTGCAGGTGGGTCTTCTTAGGTCAGTGGTTCTGTTGGAGCCCTCAGGAAACTTAGAAACCATCACTGTTTTTCTCCAAGAAGTCTACTTCTTTTGAGGGAGTCAAAGCTCTCAGGAATCTCCAGCCTGGGAATTAGGTCTGCGGGCAGTTTTGGCACAGTGATAAGTCATATGTGTCTCGAGTTTGTGGGAAAAAGCATCCTGGCTTTATCTTTCCCATGAGGTCTGGAACCCTTGCAAAGCTATAGAAAGCTTCGACCCAGCAAAATGACCATCGTCTCATGTTGGGACACATGGTACCTGGATTTCTCAGTGGGTCTTCTAGGATATCCGTCCAAGGCAAACCTCCCCATGCCATCCTGGGCCTTTCTCTTGTTTCTGTGGGTGCCTGGGACTGAGAAATGCTTGGAGCCTCACTTTTCCCCTTACGGGCTGTGCAGGCTTCCTCTCTCTCCCCTGTGAGTTCAGCTGCTGTGGACTGGATGTTGATAGTGCCGAGCCAGAGCCCAATGTAGTTGATGCCAGCAGTTGTTAATAAATAATCCACTGGTGGTTGTGCTGGGTCTGCATGCACACACACAAAACCTCTATTGATTGTCTGTAACCTTCACAAGGCCCCATATCCCGGCTACATTAAAGTAGGTTTCTGATCATGAAACTTGGCCACTAGGATGGGAGTGGGATGGTAGGCACTCATACACTATTCCTCAGGTTTTGGAGAAAACAGTTAAGATGTACCTCACTTTTGAGAGGCCTCCAAAGCCATTTAACCCTCTTAGCAGCAGGCACCCAGGGCCTTGAGACAGGCAGGGGGCTTGTGCCAAGGTGCGAGCTGGTACTGCAGGGAAGGTGGTGGTCCTGCCCCACCCTTGCCTGGGCTCTGGTTTGCAGTGCTGAGTGAAGGTTCTCTGTGTACTCTGGAATTGGACTCCCTGTGTCTAAGTGCCTCCCACACAGCTGCTTCTCCTGTGGAGCAGCACTCATCTGACCCGGACAGATGGGACTGAAACTGCCCCTGTCTGGGCTGCAGAGTCTGCTGCAAAGTCCTGTTGAGCTTGTTTGGATGGGAAGGGATGGGAGCAGATTTAACTGGTATGTTTTGTTTGCATCTAATGACTCTTTCCTTTATATAGTATCCCAGATGTTTCATTTTAACATCCTAGGACCAAAAATAAGAGAGTAGGTGAGGCCAAGGTTTGGCCCTAATGTGGATGCTGTGTGTACACGTGCTTTTCATTTACCCCCAGCAGACCCGTCTCATGGTGTGTTCTTTCTTCTCCCCATCTCAGCTGCCTTTAGTCATATCCTAAGCACTTGGAAGTCTAGGAATGACAGGCTCTGAACTAGCCACTTGTGGTCTTTAATGCCTGGTCTGCTGCTCTGGGCTATGTCTGGGTTTGTGGGCAGGAAAAACTTGAATGAATTTGGTGTTAAGGCGATGAGCAGAAAATCGAAACCTTTGCTGTATGTATTTGCCGAGACTGGCCTGAGGCTTACAGGACCAAGCACTTTGGGGCTGCTTGCTGGCGCTGCAGAGAAGAAAAGGCCACACTGCCATCCAGAAGGACTTTCTACCCTGACTAGGGCATCTCTGTTTTCTGAGCCTTCCCATTCTGGGAACTCTGGACCCTGATATTGTATAGTTGATCTTGGTATTTCCCCCGGTAGCCACACCCAGGCACCCAAGACCTGTGCACCAGCTCAGGCTGTGTGCTCTTGTGACTGAACAGACACCACTCTCTCCCCCAGGAGCCAGGGCCGGCCAAGATGGCCGTCACCACCACCAGCAGCAGCATCCCCAGTGCGGAGAAAGTCCCCACCACCAAGTCCACACTCTGGCAGGAGGAAATGAGGGCCAAGGACCAGCCAGATGGGAGTAGCCTGAATCCAGCTCAGAGTCCCAGCCAGAGCCAGCCTCCTGCGACCAGCACCCTGAGGGAATCTGGGCTGGAGGGCAAAGATGGTAAGCAGTGGCCAGGTTGGCTCAAGTGCTCACCTCTGAAGTGCTGAAAGAGGCCTTTATCCCTACAGAGCTGGCCCTGGGGCCACTCGGAGCCTGCACAGCTTGGTCGTGAGCCCCTGCTCGGGCTCTCTCACCTTCTCTATTCATCAGCCCTGGGCAGGGCCTGGCCTGGTGGGGCTGGGATTCCTGGGCTCCAGCTTGGATTTGGCCCCTCTAGCTCTGGAGTCCTGTCCGTGAAGGAGGGTAGCCCCTGTTCAGTCAGCCCAGACAGGCATTGTGAGAGTCCACATGCTCTGTGACAAGGTCTGTGTATTAGGAGGCCTCTATGTCCTGTCCAGTGTGGCTGCTTTGTCTTCATGGCCAAGTGAACTGCAGAAGAGTCCACTGTGTCCCGAGAGCAGCAGTAGTTAGTGACGTGGACCCCGGCTCATGAGGTCCGTGGCGTGATGGATGAGATATGAGACAAATTCACATGGACTACCGAGTCCTGTGGAGGAAAAGGGACAGCATGGCCACTCTCTTCAGAGGAGAACACACCGAGCCTTGCCTTGACAGGTTTTTATTGCTTTTCTGTGCACATTACATGACGGTCCTCATTTACTACGCAAGGTTCACTTTAGGTAGTTACTTTTTACAGAAAACAAAGGAAAGGATGCCACTAATTACTTCAAAGTGAAGGTTGTTGCAGACCAAGGGCAAAGTGGTTGAACCGGTTGCAATCCATACTGGGGAGGTTTAGCACAAACTTTAGGAAGTATATAGTAAGCACTTGCTGCCTCAATTTAGGGTGAGGGAGTTTTAGCAAAAGCAAGTCTCAAGTACTCAAGTGGCCCAGGTACAATGCAGGCCTGATTCCCCACGGGAGAACCTATCCGTGGACATGGGTCCTGTGCATCGGACCTCGCTTTCCACTGGGAGCTGGGCCCATGGCATGCAGAACGGTCTCCTATAAGTTAGGGTTGTCTTCCCCTTATCCTCACTGTCTCATTCTGCCAGGCCCCTAAGAGAAGTAGGGGAAGACAGTGCCAGAGAGAGAGAACAGTTGGCACCACCATGCTTTCCCCATCGAGCACTTTGGAGTTGCCTGAGCAGAAGCAGGGCAGCTGCCTCTGCCTCCTTCCCTTATCCAAGCCATTGAAGGCTCTACAATACACAACCTGGCCTTTCCTATTTATACTTTGTCCAGATTATTGAAGACAACTGGATGATTGTGACTGACCCAGCTCATTCAGGCCAAAACGTGCTTTGCGCTTGCTCTGGCCATACGTGGCCTCAGTCCTCATTTGGTAGCACACACCCATCTGTATCTAAAATTCATTTATGCCTCTGGTTTCCATAAATGTTCTCTACCCTTTCCCTCCCCAGAATTTACTAAAAGTTGGTTCCTCCTTGATATTTGGTAAGAAGTAGTTGTTCGTAGGACAACATTTTTTGCCAGGAGGAGGAGCCTGCTCTTTCACTCATGTCCCCAGTCTGGAAGTGTAGGGCTCCCTGACAGTCTGGCTGTGAGTAAGCCAAGCTAGGGGAGGAGTGGATGGGGCACAATGGGAAAGAAATGTATTCCCATCCTCTGCCTGCCCTTGGGGAACCACATTGGCCTTTGGAGATGGAGGTAGAAAGAAGGTCTGTGTTTGGATCTGTGTGGACTTTTAAAAACATCCTTAGAAACCCAAGATGGCAGCAGGCTGAGTGTGTCTCCTACCTCCCCCCAGAGGAGAGCACCATGAGCAGCGACCGCATGGACTATGGCCGCAAAGTCCGGGTGGAAAGCGGCTACTTCTCCTTGGAGAAGACCAAGCAGGACTTGAAAGCCGAGGAGCAGCAGCTGCCCCAGCCAGTCTCCCCTCCCAGCCCCAGCATTCCCAATAACAGGTATAGTGGCCCCGGACCGCCCTCCCAGGAGCTTGGTCATCCCCTTCCTTCCCCAGGTCCTCGACCCCCCTGTCGAATGGTCTGCAGCAGCTACCTCAGCTCTCTGGATGTGGCCAGCCAGCCCCCCGCTCACATGGACTCCAGCAGCACTGGGGGGCGGGGAGCAGAGAGACTGGGGTGCACCCTTGCCTTTAAAGCCAGCAGGCAGTATGCCACCCTGGCCGACGTCCCTAAGGCCATCAGGATCAGCCACCGAGAAGCCTTCCAGGTGGAAAGAAGGCGGTTGGAGCGTAGCACTCGGGCCCGGAGCCCTGGCAGGGAAGAGGTGGCCCGTCTGTTTGGCAACGAGCGGAGGTAAGGAGGGGATTAGAGGGCTGAATGCATGTGCACATGTGTGCACACACAGGCACACAGACTGTCTTCCCCACCTTTACACACAGCCTTTCCCACATACTCTCCCATTTTCTCCAATACACGTACTCACATATAGTCTTACACACTCGTGTATTCTGTTACACATTCTCACCCGCTGTCTTACACATTTCCTCTCCCTTCCTCCTCCCCTCCCACATGCACACATGTGTTTCCTAAGCCTTCCTTGGGGAGCCCACTTGTCCTTCCTTTCTGTTCAGAGCAAGTGGGGAACCTTTCCCTCCTGACCCTGGACTCTGGTTCCGGAACTCAGCTTCTAGGGGTAAGAATGTAGGGTCTCTGAGTACCCAGAGGCTTAGGCGAGGCCAGCTGATCCCTATGAGTGCTTCCAAGGACTGGGACCTTAAGGGCCTCTGGGCAGGTTCTCAGCTCTCTGGGCCTTGTGTGGCTTGATCATCTTCCCAGCCCAGGTCTGTTCTCTGAGGAGACAGTGGAGACAGGAAGACCCTAGACATGCAGAGGGTAGCAGAAGCTCTCATTGTCATTACCAGTTCCAGTTGCAGGTGAAGAGCCTGACAGGAGATGCCGGGAAAGTAGCCATGCTCAGGGAGGCAGAGTGGGAACCCAGTTTTTCCCTCGAGCTCTTGCTCCCACAGGAAGGCACAGGGCAGCCAAGGCAGTCTAGGAGGTTCTGGGCACCTGGCAGCATCTCTGTTTGTCCAGGCTTGGCTGAAATGTGGAAATGGGGAGACTCAGCAGAGCCACAGCTTCCTTGGGGAGGGAAGGGGCTTGGACGATAGGCCTAGGACAAGGGCCAGGGACAGAGAGGTGTGGAACTTGACTGTAGTCTGAAAGGGGACAGCTCTGTCTGCCCTTGCTTTGTCCCACTGGCCCTGAGCTTCAGCTTGGTTCCATCTCAGAGGCCTCCAAGCCCATGTCTGGACCAGAGTGCCTGAGTGCCCCTCCCATAAGAGCTTCTACCCTGAGCCTGTAAACAGCCTTTGTCTCTCTTTGTTTGCTTGACAATGAGGTTCTCACTCAGATAACCAATAGGCTGCTGGAAGCTCACGGACACCTCTAAACCACTCCAAAATTTTTACATACCTTTTTTCCAGAGGAAAAAATCCATAGTTTTCATTAGGTTCCCAGAGAATTTCACTTTCAAAAAGGTTTAGGCCTAAATTCTAGAAGTGTTCACAGAGTATCCTCCCTGCTTCACCAAAACCTGAGTAAAGCTCAGAATTCAGGACATGTTGTGGGGACAAGCCAGGCAGGCAGGCAGTGGGCTCCCCTCAAGGGGCCGACTGGGAATAGTATGCCTTTCCCTTGTTTTCTTCTCTTCCAAACACCTACCCACTCTATCACATGTCCCAGGTAGAAAGGACCTATGGACCTGTGGGTTAATTTACAGGATGAAGACAAGACACCCAGAGTTGTTGGTCTTGAAAAGAGAAGAAAACAGAATGTTCCCAATTCTGAGAGACAGGGAGAGGAAACCTTGTTGCTTGGGAGGTACCCCACCAAGCAGTTGGCTGGCTTCCCATTTTACTAGTTACCCCATGAAGTGCCTATTATCAGCAACCCCACTGTGTAGATGCAGAGAGAGGGACTCAGAACCAGGGTGGCTCCTCATCAGAACAGCCCGGAGCAGTGGCACTGGGACATACATCCGGCTGGACCCTTAACTGGAAAGGCCCTGCTCCTGTGACATGACTCAGACTAGGCCAAGGCTGTCCTTTAAGAGATTAAGGAAATGTATAAGAAAAGGAACTTGCCAGAGATTTAGGAGGCCAGCAGCCAGGGTTGGAGAGGCTTTGCACTGGCCTGCGGGCAGGCTGTGTGTTGGAAGGCTCCTGTGTGGAAGGCACTGTGCCCTGGTTTAGTGACAGACCAGAGAATTAACATTCAGCATGCCTGCTTGGCTTTGAATGCATTCTCGTCTAGTGGCCTAGGGTTGACAGCATTTCTGGGGCTTTGCTTTTGCATGCTCTTTGCCACCATGGGTTTTTATGTGGTGTTGGCACCCTTGGGACCCAACTGGCTCTGCTTCCTAACACTGTAATGTCACTTTCTTACTGACCCTGATGACATCTGGCTAGCTGCTGTCACTTCCTGAGGTCTGCCCTTTGGTCCCAAGTAGCTGACCTGTGCTTGATTAGATTCCTGTCTCCCTGGTTGAATAGAGCAGAACCCCGTGGTAGAAGGTGGTTGTTTGGCCACAGTGGCCAGAGCTCACCTACCCGGAGTGGCAGGTGAGCCAGGCTAGCCTGCCCAGCAGCCAGGCTGGAGAGTTTCCCAAAAAGCCATGACCGTGAGTTGAGTACTCCTGTGAGGGCTGGTCAGCTCTGCTCTTCAGACTTGCTCCAGAGCCTTTAACATATTTCTTGGTTGGTGAGTTTTTGCTGAGTGAGCATGGGGAGGCTATGGCCCTTGTTGACTGATACCAGGACCAGCTCCCATGGGGTCCTATCGACCCCTGGGCTAGGCACCTGGAGGGGTTGGTGAGCAGAGGTGCGGTGCCTCCTTTCTGTGCTGTCAGCTGGCTCAGGGAGATGTGTGTGGCCACACATGCAGTCCTTCAAGGAAACCAAGCTAAAAACTTCCCATCGTGCAAAGAAAACACAGCTGACTTCCCCAGAGCCCACCCACACCGAGAGGCTGCAGCAAGTGCCGCTTTCCTGCGCTCTCCCTCTGACTCTTCTCTTTGTGGCCCTGGCAGTTTTGCAGCATGCCATTCACCTGTGACTCAGCCAGGTGCTGTTCCTCATGGCCTTCCTAGGGGTCTCTAGGCCCAGGCCTCAGCCCCGAGGCCTGGGAGTGGGCCTGAAATCTTTTCTAAACATCCCTGGGAGAATTGGGCATTGGGATTGCATCACCCACCCGACCAGGCTGAGCACTTGCAAGAGCTTCCTGTGGCCTAGGAACTCCTGCCTCTGCCTTAGCTTCCTGTGCTCAGACGCATGCCCTCTCCTGCTGCCCTCCCTCAGCCACCCTGTGCTGCTGGTTCTGGCAGGCTGGCCTGGGAGCAGATGCTGTTCCTGGAGAAGACTCAGCAGAAGCCTAGTGCGCTGGCTCCCACTTTTATTGTGGAAGCATAGGGAAGAGGAGATCATGAAGGTGCCCCAGAGTTCTGGCCTTGGTATTAAGCCTTCCTTGATAAAGAAACACTAAGATCCATTTTTAATGGTATCCCTCCCTGAGAAAAAGCTGGCCTGGGGTTACGTAGGGGGAGGGGGTGTCTCAGGTTTTGAGGTTGCTTCTTCTCTCATAGATTTTAGTCTTCTGGGCTTAGACCTTCAATCTCTTGCCCTTGACTCTCTACCACTTGTCCAGAATGCAAAACCTTCCCCAAGAGGCACCTTCAGGGCACTTGGCTGGGTGTCGCTGTTGGAGAACAGGCCCCTGGTCCTGTGACCTGTCAGTGGTCAAGACCCAGGCCCCCAGTGTGCCCCACTTGGCCTCCCTGCCCACACCCACTGCAAAGACTCCTCGTGACTCAGGGACAAGGATGGTCTCCTCTCTGCAGTGATCACCTCGGGTTTTGTTTCTTTAATTCTTTGGATAATTTTGATTTATCATTATTTGATTTTTAAAAGCAGTCCTTTCCTGTTTATTTATTTTCCAGCCTTATTTTCTTTCAGGTCTTGCCCCTCTCCACCTTCTCCTGCTGTGTTGCTGTGTGATGTTACTCGCCCTTCCTCCGCCTGCTTCGCTCCCATCTCAGCTCCGTCTCCAGCCATAGATGGCGTGATGATGCCGCCGGCCCTTTCACATGAAATCAACTTGCTTTGTTTTGTTTTAATTTGGTTTTTGATTCGTTTTACTGTTGGCAGAAACAATGTTAATTCATGGGCCTTTTTCTTGCTAAAATTTGGATGCCCTGGGGTGGGGGCTGCATCATGATCTGCTAGGAATTTGATGAGGATGGGGCTGTCCTCTCCAAGGTGGTGGTTGCCTTCTTACCGTATCTGTGGCTCTGGAGAGGATGCCTGCTGATAAGCTGTGTGATTGCCAGGTGTCTATGCGGCAGACCATGCAGGGACCTCCAGTGTTGAGGTGGGGACGCAGAGGGCAAGGGAAGGCCCTTGACCATGAGCTGCTGCCCTCTCCTGCACAGCTCCACCCTTTGTAGTGGGGGAGGGAGCTCAGGGAGAGATATCCAAGGTAAACTGGCCTAGTGTGTGCTGTGTGCATAGCCAATACACCCTGCAGAAGTGGAGGCCCAGGCAAGGCTGGGATGGGCCAGCTGTGGGGGTGCTGACTGAAGGAGCCCCTCTGCAGCTTGAGATCAAGCCCACCTCGGGGTTCGGGGTGACCCTCTCTCCCCTCAGCAGATTTCTATCCTCTCTTGCAGGAGGTCCCAGGTAATTGAGAAATTTGAGGCCTTGGACATTGAGAAGGCAGAGCACATGGAAACCAACTTATCAGCTGGACCCTCACCATCAAGTGACACTCGCCAGGGCCGTAGTGAGAAGAGGGCATTCCCCAGGAAGCGGGTGAGCACTGAGGCCTGGGCAGTACTGGGGTGCTGGGTGGGGCCTGTCAGCACATGGCCTCATACCTCCTCCACGGCCCCCAGCACACACCTGGACACACTATTGCTGGGCTTCCCACCATCCTTTCATAGTTTGCTTAGTTCTCTCATCGCCTCCAACTCTCGAACTTCTTAAAGAAAAGCCTATCTTATGCATCTTCCTGTCAGAACTTTATTCATCTCTGCTAACGGCTATTCTAAGGATCTTTAGATCCTGGGTGGTACTAGAGCCCCTCTCTTCTTCTCTGAGGTGGCCCGGCCTCAGGGCTGCACAGTGTTCTTCCTCCTCCTCTCAAGAGGCAGCTGTAGCCCTCATTTCTTTGCTCCATGAGGTGGGCTCCTCATCCAGTCCTCCACCCACTTCTTGGGGCCTTGCTGGGTCTCATCTTCATCTTCCTCCCCAGATTCTCTCTGGGCTCCTAAGGTGCCCTGCTCCTCTACGTGCAGCCACATAATAACTCAGAAATCTTCCTTCTGTGACCCCAAGAAACAAGGGGCAGGGTGGGACCCAGAGAGTGATGGTGACAAGGCTGCACCAACAGCAAGGGCAGCGCAGAACTCATGCCCAAAGCAAAACAGAGGTGCTAGGAGGGAAGTCCAGACACTGGCTCCTGCCCTCTGCTCCAGGAAAAACAGCAGGCAATTGGGAGCAGGGTCCCTGCAGGTCTGATTCTTCCACAGCTCTGGCTGCCGGACTCCTTGCTCCCTGCCCAGGATAACACTTAATACTGACTGGCGGCTACTCTCTGCCACAGGACCTCCCCAGTGAAGCCCCCACAGCTCCTCTCCTGGATGCCTCAGCCTCCCCCCTGTCTCCACACCGAAGAGCCAAGTCACTGGACAGGAGGTCCATGGAGTCCTCCCTGACGGTGAGCCCAGGCGCCCAAGCACCAAGGCCTGGCGATGCTGCTGCTGCTGCTGCTGCTGCTGCTTCTGTCACCTGAGGTTGCTGTCTGCTTCTGTCCATGCATCTGGGCTGGCTGTCCTCTCTGTGCACAGGCCCTCATGTCTATGTGTGGGAAGCAGCTGCTCTGTTTCTTTCCCTTTCCTGGGCTTTGTAGACCTCCTGAGCTCCAACGTTCCATTGGAGGTCACGTGACCACAGCAACAGTCCCCTGACTCCAGGGGTTAGGGCCAAAGCACAGAACCCCCGTTCTTCTTTTGTGGGGTGTTTATTTCCATGATAGTTTGGTAACAGGAGTCCTGTCTTGCTGGGAGCACTGGTCCCGTTCATGGGGTTTCACCATAAAGGGAGAAGAGGCCCTTGCTCCAGGCCACCTTAGCCACAATAGTCGCGGTACAGGTGGGGAGCAGTTGGACGGAGTCTAGGCAGCACCATCGCTCCCACCAGCAGCGACAGGCCAGAGGCCCAGAGGATAAAAGATAGCTGTTCCTTGCCTGGTGACCTAGGGCTCCTCTCTGCATTTGTCCTTAACCTCCTCAGGAGCCCAGGGATGGTGCTGCCTCTCCCCGACTGAGGTGTGGGGCCACCACCAAGACTGGTATGAAACTATGGAGCAAAGGCAGGAGGTTTCTTACCTGGAGGATTTTTCCTTGAGCTCTGACTTTGGCTCAAGGGTTTGGAGCAGAGGCTCCCAGAACAGGTATTGCTGATCTTTGGCCTGTCACTACACATCTGTTCTCTCTTAATGCCCTCCCAGACCTTGCGCTGCAAACAGATGTCACAGCCTATTTCTGGTCAAGATGGCTGTGGAAAAGTGGAGAGCATGACCAGTGACAGGGAGGATGGTCCATGTCTCTTTGAAGCACCAGCCTTATAGATACCCAGACATAAAACATAAGCAGGGTCCAGGTGGGCCGCAGGTGATCCTCGTGGGTTGCTGAACAACACAGGTTTTAGGATGGGCCAGCAGGGATAGCACCACATTCAGGCCCTACCAGCGGGCTTGCACCCTCTGCTTTCTTATCTGTTGTCCTGGTTTTGCTCCTTGTAGGGAACTGGAGACTGAAAGTCATCCTGGTACAGATAAGTGGCCTGAGAGTCTTGGTAAAGTTGCTGCTGCATCTCACTGAGGACCAGACATGGTGTCTGCTTCTTGGTCATCTCATCTTTTCTCTCTGTCTTCTGTGTCTTCTGCAAGAACTTCTGAATTCTCCTTCAAGCTGTTATTGCAGACCTTCCCCTTCATATACCACACTCAATGACTGTCTGTCTGAGCCATTCTTCTCCTCTTAGGCAAATGGAGTAGGGCCTGTCTCAGAGCACCAGGCAGCCCAGCCGCTCACAGGGCGATGAGGCTGAGCTCTCTTCCTTCACAGTAGCCTGTGCAATGCAGCACCTGCTTCTTCCCAGATGTGTGTGCCTGCAGATCGGGCAGCAGGCAGCACAACCTGGGGCCAGGGACCTGTGCAGGTTGGTCTGATAGGTGAAGAAACCCCTTTTCCTGGTGCCCTCCTCACCTATAAAGAATGTCTGCTCTGTCGGTTACCCTTTGCCCAGGACTGGAGTATCAGTGTTTCCCTCTGAACTGTTCTTTTTTCTTTTCTCAGCCTGACCTGCTGAATTTCAAGAAAGGCTGGCTGACCAAGCAGTACGAGGATGGCCAGGTTAGTGTGCAGAGATCTGTGGTTTCTGAAGGGCTGGGGAGCAGCCTTGAGGCTGAGCCAGCCTTATCCCTGGCTAGTCTGTGAGCACTAGCTCTATCCCCCCACCTCCAGCACACCCCCTGGTCTCATGGGCAAGGACTGTGGCCAGGACCCCCATCTCCTCAGAAAAATGGAGGTTCACAGCCCCCATTTCTACAGCAGGAGTGGAGCTTTTGGAGATGCACCACCAGGCCTACCTGTTGCCAGTGTGACAGATTGCTGTCCTGTACCCAGCAGTGACCTTGGCCTCAAGCCATGGAGACATTCTCAACACTAGCTCCCTACCTGTTGATCTTGCCCAGGGACAGAGAAAGCCTCTGGCTGTAGGGCTGGCTTGTGCTTGCACACAAGATGGACAAGGAGACAGCAGCTGAGGCAGCAAGACTCTGTCAGAGATACCAGCTCACCCCCAGTCCTGAAAGAGGCATTATGATACATTCTCACAATCAGACTAAGCAGGAAGAGCCCTTTACAGCTGGACCTGCCAGCCCCACCTTGACCCTGGATAGGGCTAGAATGCCAGACCTCCCAGGAGGCATGAGAAGAAACCTGCTAGGTCATACCGAGACCCTGCCTGCCCATTCTCCCACACCTGCTTTCTGAGCAGCTCTGCTGAAACATCCTCTTTTCTTCTCTCCTCTATGTTAACCCTTTTGGCCTTGCCTGAAGACTCAGGCCTCCCCCTTGCTACTCACAGTGAAGACTTGGGAATCTGGCTGGTTGGTTTGTACGTGCTAGCTGCAGGTGGGCGCACCCCTCTGGTTAACCAGCCAGTGCCTATAACTCACAAGTGGCCTCCTTCAGATGAAGATTCTGTTTTCACAGACACCTTTCAGCCCAGCCCCCTGTCTGCAGCCCTGGAGTTGAAATTGAGAGCTGCAAAGCACTATTCGCCAGACACACCACTGGGTTACATAGAGCCCATGGCCAGTGGCCCACCCCAGCTCTCCCACCTGCCTCGTCACTGAGGAGCCAAGGCTTAGCAAGTGCCCCGACAGCATGTGCTCATGGTTGCCTGTGGCCTAAACACTGAGTCCTCTGCCACTCGCAGGAGTAGCTGCCTTTTCACATGCTCTAGGAGTTGCCCTAGGACTTGGGCATGGGTCACCTCGGAGCAGTAAGTGTGCTACACAGTAGTTTAGTCTGTCTTCTCCTTTCCATTTCAGTGGAAGAAACACTGGTTTGTCCTTGCTGATCAAAGCCTGAGATACTATAGGGATTCAGTGGCCGAGGAGGTGAGTATCTTGGCTTTGCTCCCACCGGGGAGACAGCTGAAGGGGTTCAGGTAGCATCTGGAGGCCCACGGCCCCCAAGCACCACTGCTTCTCCTGGGCTTCAGCCCCTTTGTCTGTTGATGGACGTCCACATTGCCATGTTGGGTTCCCCAGTCCAGATCTGGTGGGAAGTCTGAATGTAGTGCAACCTGCTTTTGATAGTCTCGTGACTGGTTCCTGCCTGGAACATGCATCTTCTGAGGCCCTGCTTTAGTCACCTGGGCATAGTGCGTTTGAGCAACTTTTTTCTCTGTTCTTTGAAAAACACTGAAAGATGTCTTATTTTAAAACTCAAGATGAGCTTTTTTGTTTTTCCTACAAAGAGATTTTATGGTGAATTAAGTCTTGAAGAACTAAACTAAAATCTTATTTATCCCTTGTCTTTTGGACAAAGATGGAATGTGGCAGATGAATCTGGTTGGCCCAGTTGACAGTCTTCATTCTGCAGATGAAGGACCAACCAGAGGAGCTGTTTTTTCTCACCTACAAAAAAGTCATTCTTTTGAACAATTTAGCAAGTGTGTTTCTAACCTTTCCCTTGTAGTCCACTCCAAGCATCCTTAAGATATATCTACAAATAGAAAAAGATCTGTGTCCAAGGTTAGTCATTCTGTACCTTTGAAATAGCAGAAGATTGAAGAGAACCTAAATACCTGTCTGAGGCGGTGAGTAGGTAGGGGGTCAGGAGGGCATATATATATTTACATACCCTGAACCTAAATGAACTAAGTTTTTAATGGAGCCCAGTGGAAAGATATTGGTGATATAAGACTAGGAAGGGTAGGGTGGCAGGCCTCTGGTGTGCCTAATAGCAGGGAATACAGAAACGTGTGTGTGTTTAACCGACCACTCATGTGTGACTGCCACTTATATAAACCAGCAGTTCTCAGAGTGTGGGCTGTAGACCCCTGGAGACACCTTAGGAGGGCTGGGATACTCAAGACTATTGTAACACTAAGATGCTGTTTTCTTTTTTTATCGTATTAACATTTGTACTGACTGCACAAGCAGCAGTGGATGAGGCTATTGGTGCCTTAGCCCAGACACAGGCTGCAGCAGCCAGTGGCCAGTGGTCCTGTGTTCTTTACCACCATACACTCACAATGTTAAGAAAGTTACTGATTTCATTAAGTCTCAGTCCTTGAAGACTCATCTTTTTAATACTCTCATGATTTGAAATCTGCAGTAAGTACACGTCACTGTTGTTGCACACCAAGTATGACGGCTATTTCGTGGGGCAGCCCTGTGCCCTCTGTTGGTGCTGCCCACTGGCCAGCAGCATCTCTTGTGGATCACTCACTTTACCTGCAAGAACAGCTTGTACACAAACTGCTCATTCAGTTTTGGTGGTTAGCAGACATTTTCTTTAGAATGAACCAAGTGAGCCTATTCCTTTAGGGAAACAACAGGCAGTATTTGTTGCCAGTGCTACAAGATAAACTTTCAAGCAAAAATTGAATCTTTGGAAAACTTTTATTCACCATCATGAACTTGACAGCTTTCCTTTACTTCAGTCTCTCCTGACCAAATAGGTGGTGATACTAACAGATGCAGTGTTTGATTTCATATAATGAGATGTGTCAACATAGGAAGTGTATAACTCGTTATTTTCCAAATGGCCAATATATAATGTTACACAGTTGGGCACAGGTAAAAGACCCATTCAGAGGGTATAGTAACACCGTGGATTTGGATGTAACTGTGAGTACAGAAAGTTCCTTGATATGATTTCAGATTCCACTTTGTAGTTAACCTTTAAGTCACAGGGGTGTCCAACATGTAGCTCAGGATGGGTATGAATATGACCCAACACAAACCCGTAAATTTACTTAAAATATTATGAGATTTTTTTTGTAATTATGTGTTGTAATGTATTAATGTGTGGCCTACAGATGCCAAAGGGTTAGACACCCCTGCATAAATTCAAGATAACTACCACATATCAAAAAAATAACCACAGGTACTTGAAGATTATTAAAATGTCTCCCTTTTTCAAGTCCATTTTTGTGAAAGGCCAGACTGTCTTCATATACCTCAGCCAAAACAACATATCCATCAGAATGAATGCAGAAACAGATAAGAGAAGCCAGACGTCAAAGAGATTTGTAAAAATTCAAAACAGTATTATCACCGATTTTTTAAATAATATTTTTATTAATAAAATGGGCTTATTTGTATCCTTAAGTGATATGTTTAAATTTTTTTCAGTTTAGTGTCTAACATAGTAAATATCAATAGATAAAGCTTACATAAAAACTCTTTGGGGTCCTCAATTTTTAAGAGTGTGAAGAAGTTCTGATGTGAGTATGTTGGAGAACCATCAGCATGGAATTTCTTTGGCAGAATATCCATGGGGAGTGGTGGCATTGGTGTGTCCATGCTATGAAGGCCAGGCGTGTCCTCACTTCTTATGAGGGTATATGCTCACTAAGAAAAAGGCCAGCCCTCAAAATCACTTGTGAAGACATGTTTGTTTAGTATTGACTTTCATTTCTAAATCTCTTAAGGTCTTCTCATTTCTCTCTTCAGGCGGCTGACTTGGATGGGGAAATTGACTTGTCTACATGTTATGATGTCACGGAGTATCCAGTCCAGAGAAATTATGGCTTTCAGATACATGTGAGCCTAGGGGTGGAGTTTGGAAACAGGTTGGGTGCAGAGGTGGGGGACACAGGCTTGACTGGCTGGGGTGTGTCTTTGAGCACTTGATGTCCTGGTCTGGGCACTGGTGGGCAGGCGTGACCTCATGTGCATGGTCAAGAGATGCTCTTTTTCCATGAGTGTCAGCATCTTGTCCAGTTCTGTCCTCAGGCCTGTGGCACCTGGTCCCCACCCCCAGTTTGTGATCTAAGCAAAAATTGGATATTAGCATCTTTCAAGACTGTGTAGAAGCTTTTTATTACTGAAGATTCTTTTTCTTTTAATCCTGGAGTTTGGGACAGTTGGAAGGATATGTGAGGTATGGGAAATAAGAATGAAAGTATTAATTATTTAAATCTCAGAGTAGTAGGTTTTTATTCACTTACTCTTTAGTTTATTCTTCTACTCATGAGTTTGAAAATTCATGAAGTCTTTTTTCTCCCCGCAACCTTGTGAGGGACTCAGAGAAGCAAGTCATTGCCCTTGCACTCAAAAAAATAACCTGGTTCAATAAAGATGGCAGTTCTCATTGGCCATTTCATTAAAGTTGGTGACTCAAGGGCTGCCCAGAGTTAGCCAGGGTCAAGATTAGGACACAGTCACCTGACTGACACATCTGCTCTCACTCTAACACCAACTGCAAGTTTGGGGGTTCCCCAAACCATCCTCAGATTCAAGAATGAGCCAGGATGACTCAAAGAGCACAGCTGTGGTTTCGTTTTAGAGAACAACACCAGTTGGAGCACCAAAAGAAGGGAGGCTTTCAGAGTTGCCTGGGCTCCTGTGTCCCAGGGGACACGTTGCCCTCCTGGTGTTGCTGTGCAGTGACACACGGAGCTTCCCACCCAGGAATCTCACCTAAGCCCAGAGTCCTGAGTTTTGATTGGGGTTTCACAACTGTCATGATTGACAGTCATGTCCATGGGGTCCAGCACAACCTCCAGCCCTGCCCTCAGAGGCTGGCTCATTTACATGGGGCTGAAGCCCTAGCCCTCCCACTTTATGGCTGGTCTTTATAGTGTAGCCATCCCCAACCCTAAGTAATGAGGATTCAGGAGTTGCTGCTCAGGAGCTGGGGCAAAGACTAGTCCTCTCCTTGTACGAAGCTAATTCTTTCCTCACAAGAGCCTTGTGAATATGTGGTGGGTAGAGAACAGCCTGACAGACAGGGCTGCCACTGCAGGGGACTTTGTCTGTCACAGAAGGCTGTAACTCCAGTGGGGTCACCTTTAATAGGGTCTTACCTTCAGATCTCGGGGTGCAAAAACTCAGCTTTATCACTGGACTCAGTAGATCAGGCACCCTGAGACTGACTCATATTAACCAAACTTCAAGGAGACTGAGGTTCACACCTGAACACCATTGTGTTAATTACAAAGAGAAGTCTAGCCACCAACCCACCCAGGCTACTGGCCATGGCATGTCCTCCTTGTGGGGTGCCAAGTCATATGGACAGATGGCCTGGCATGAGGCCCAGGGCATGAGTTGGTGAATCTTAGGGTCTTAGCAACCTCCCCACCCCCTGCTATGATGCTCCCTTGCTCCTGGTCCCTGCAGGAGGAACAGATCTGCTCAGTGAGCTAGTCCTGAGCTTTCTGGTAGACCCCATACTGCATCCCCTCCCTCACTCTGATCTCCTCGTGTCAAAGAGCAGGTTTCTCTGGGCAGGGTATCCTGAGGTAAGAGGTAGCTTTTTAAGTCAGCAAGTGAGCACTGAGTAGTAACTTAATTATTCTACGGTCTGAGCCATGCAGTTTACTCTCAACCATCAGTCTGACCCTTTTTATTTTGCCCTGGGGCTGGAGCTTATCTTAAGTTCTGACACTTTTCTGTGAGCTACATGGACTGAGGGAGACCTAGGTCCGTAGAGATTGCTCTTAGCATGAAAGGGTGGGTTCTGAAGGGGTCTTGGCTTGGGTTAGTAGGCAGCTTTGAGTTCTTGAGAGGCAAGGATAGACAAATGAATGTGCGATGTCCCTGCCCTGGCCATCAAACCTAATGGCACCTACAAAGGAGCTGAGTGCAGAAGCTAGGCAGGAGCAGCACCACAAGAGCCCTGAGTCAGAAGTCCGTCTTCTCCTGAGATTGTGGAATATGCTGGAATGTGCTGGACAACACAAGGTAGTTGTGCATTAGTAAGACATCCAACAGGACATGCAGGCAGTTAAAGGAGGTGAAGAGAGGCAGGAGGCCAGACAGGCACAGTGGTGGTGGGCAGAAAAGGAAGGGGTGGCTACAGAGCACTGCAGAGGAAGTACATGTGGGCTGTGACTTTGGTCAGATGAGGGAGGAGGCAGGGCTGAGATCTTGTGCCCCAGTGTGTAGCAAAAGGTGTAGAGCTTCGTGGCTGGTGTGGCTCGTTAGTCTGAGTGCCAGCCTGCAAACCAAAGGGTCGCTAGTTTGATTCCCAGTCAGGGCACATGCCTGGGTTGCGGGCCAGGCCCCCAGTAGGGGGTGCATGAGAGGCAACCACATGTTGATGTTTCTCTCCCTCTCTTTCTCCCTCCCTTCCTCTTTGTCTAGCAATAAATAAATAGTCCTTTTTTTTTTAATACACTTAAAAATAAAAAAGGTATAGAGCCTCTGGAGTTTTGGCTGTGATGGGCTTTCTGCAAACACTAGACAGGCAGCCACAGTGTGGGCCTACTGTTGGGAAGCAACCCACTGGAGGTGGAAGATGAGGCCATGAGGGAGAATGTGGAGAATGCTGAGATTAGACCACGGGAACGCCCACCTCTGGGAGTGAGAGAAGGCAAAAGACCCCATGGCGAGTATGAGCAGGTCTCAGGGGCAGAGGAGGGCCAAGGCATAAGGGGCCAGTGTTTCGGAGAGCCGAGAAGCCATTGCCCTACTCTAGGAGTACAGCAAGGGAAAACCCAAGGACAGATGAGTTATGGGCTGTTCTGGGGAGCCCGAAGTGGAGGATGAGGTCAAGTCCAAGCTGTGCTTTCAGTACTCCAGGCCCACGTGTGGTCTCTTGTGTTTTGCTCCCTGGCCATGTCAGTACCCAACCCAAAACTATCTTGGTAATTTCATCTTCCCTTCAGCTGATTTGCTAATGTGTTCCTGAGTAGCCTGAGCAGCTTAAAGAAAAGGACTGACACCCTCATTCTGGGAGACAGGAGTCTATAGGTGCAGAAGCAGGGAAGTAGACTTCATGCAGACCACCCTCCGTGTTTTCCGTCTCTCTCCTTCTCAGGAGGCACCTTGCCATGCCCCCAGGAGACACGAAGACTGCACCTCAGAGGCCACTCTTTATTTCTTACCCTCGCAGGCCACTCTGCCTCCTCCCTGCTGCTGCATCTGGCCTCCCCCCGCCCCCGCCCGGGCTGTGCACTCCCCTTTGCTGTAAACGTATTCCTCTGTCTCAACTGATGTCCCACCAGCTCATCCAAGTCAGGGGGCCTAGGGGTTGTCCTAGAAGTACCTCCCTCCCTCTTCCCCATTACCCAATCCTGCCACCACCTTAATTCTGACTTCCTAGACAACTGCCCTTACTGTCCAACAGGCCTCCCTGCCTCTTCTCAGCCTGAAGACTCGGCTTCCACCACACCCCAGCCTGCCTGACCTCTCCCTGATTGCCCTGTGCGCCCAGTGAGTGTGGCTGCAGGGTACTGGGGTGAGCTGTTCCTGCTTCCTCTGTACCTCTTTCCCGCCCACCTACCACCCCTCCTCACCACACAAGGCCCAGCTCAGCCCCACTGTGCTGGGCTCTCACTTGCTCCCCACATACTCACACTCTCCTTCCCTCTAGTCTGTGAGTTTCTTAAAGGGCAGGGTGAGTCACCTCAGTGCCTGGACATTGTAGGTACTCAGTAAATGCCTGCTGAATCTGCTGGAGAGGGAGATACCTGAGTTAGCCTTGACAGTGAAAGCAGGTTAGTGTCTTCACAGCTTTGCTGTTTCCTTTGCTCTCCAGGTCTGGTTTATCCTAAGCAGGGTATACATGGTGCTCCTAAGATGGCCACCTAGCCATAGTCCTCCCTGCAGGAGACAGGTGGAGAGATTGACAGTGGTCACTGATAATGCCTTGTCTCTTCTATAGACAAAGGAGGGCGAATTCACCCTCTCTGCCATGACGTCTGGGATCCGGCGGAATTGGATCCAGACCATCATGAAGCATGTCCATCCAACCTCTGCCCCGGATGTGACAAGGTAAAGTTCAAGGGAACCACTTTCCCCAGGGGCCTCTGCCTCACTCCTGTACATGAACAGCTGCTTCTTCTGGGGACCTGAGCTCTCAGCCTGGCCCAGCATGGCCTTCTTCCTTCCCTCCTAGGTCCTGCTGCTGGCCGCCCCCCACCCCCAACACTCATTCTCTTTTTGGTTTCCTGGTTCTCTGTGTCAGGTTGCTTCTTCCTTCTGTGAGCTTGGTTGGTAGAGCTACACAAGTATCACTTGGGCCACCATCAGAACTGAACTTAGGGGATAGGCCCCTCTGGAGTGGGCGTGGGCACTGGGCTTCAGTGGAGGCTGCACCCATAGGCTGCGATAGCATTTCTTTTTCTTGTTTTTGTTTGTTTGGTTTTTTTTCACCTCAGTCCCGCATCTATTGGATTTCTATGTATCAAGAAAAATTCTCTGAAACTCTCAGTGGCAGAGCCTAAGTTGGAAAACTATCCCCCGCCATAACACACTTCAGTTCACACATCTCATGATTCACTGTGTACCTTCCTCCTCTAACCCTAAAGGTTAGAAACTGGCTGGGTTTCATTTTAAAAGTATGAAGACATGGTTCCAGTGTAGGGGGCTGGCTCTGTGATGCCCAGAACACTGCTGTGCATGCATCAAGGCGTCAGAGCCTTCGCCAGTTCTGAGAACTCTCATTGGCACTTTGTAGGCATGTAGTTTAAATGACTCCGCAAGTGTATTTCTTGCACTGGAAGTCACACTCCAGGTGACCCTGGTGCCTGCCGTGTGCCTCCTGGTGGCCTGGGGCAGTTGTGACTGTCCTAAATCTTTTTGAAGTCCTTGCCTCTTCTTAGTGACAGTGTACCTCTTTGGACAAGAAGAAAGGGAAGGAACCCAAAATAACAATTCCTTCACTTCTGTGTTTATTCATATTGTTTGTTCATTATTTAACAAACAGAATAGTTGGTTGTTCCTGAGTTGGTAAGACCAGGAGATGGTGACCAGGACCCACTCTGTGGTATCCTGTTAGGGGAGCACATCCTGTGTGCAGGGGCAAGGGGTAACCCCATCCTCATGGGGCTGTATCCACTGGAAGCCCAGCAGCTACCCCTCAGCTCTCACCCATTCAGGAGGAGAAGCTGGAGCCTCACAAGCCCAGTGTACTTTCTGAGCTCTGGAGGACACCCCCACAGCCAAGCAAGACAGGCAGCTCAGGCTGCTCTGCCCAGGCTGCTGTGTGGTCTCTGGGAGGTGAGGTGGACACACAAGAGCCAGGTGGCCTCAGGTCAGGGCTTCTAGCCAGTGACAATCACCTGCCGCCCTGTTCTAGCCAAGCCTGGCTCTGTGCATCAGATTGAGGATCTGTCTGGGGGCTGTCAGCTTTGGGATGTCTCAGGGCAGGCATGTGGCTTTAGCCTCAGAACGGGAGTAAAGGACACACTTTTGTGCACACATGACTTACAAGTGGCATCTCCCAGGCTGGCATGCATGTCTCCCTTGCACACTTGGATATCAGCTCCTGCCACAGCAGGCAGGCCTTTTGTCTCCGTGGGAAGCTTGATGTGATGACTATTTTTCTCACTACAATTTACTTCAGAGTTAATGGAGTAATTTGTTTCTCCAGTTTGTTTCAGCCTTTATGCTTCTTTGATGTGGGCTTTTATAGTTTGAGGAAAGTAAGTTTGTTTTGTTTTTTTAGCTCTACAAAGCTATGTCCCAAGGACAATTAGAAACAGATACAAACATCAGAGGTACCAGGTGAAGCCAGGCACTGTAGGCCCCCTGTGTCTGGTGGGGAGATATAGGGGCTTCCTGTCTGGGAAGACAGTAGGGGCCTTCTTCCCAGGCGGGCCTCCTCTGTTGGAGAGACTGGTTCTGTGACTTCCCATTTTCCATGTTATCCCACTGCCCAATATGGCTGTAAGCCTGCTCTAGTTCTCAGTTCAGAGCTATCAGAAGGTCTGTTCTGGAGAGTTTTTATTCAAATACGTATATGGCTTAAACTGAAAACACAGGTCCTACCTACCACCCTGGAGCTGTTTATTTTTCACTAGGTATCTGCTGGCATGGGTGGCCAAGCGGGTGGTGGCGACTGTGTCCTCTTCTCCTTGGGTGCCTCTTTCACTCTATCCTTTCTCTTTGGCTCCCATTTAAACATGGGTGCTCCCTGGAACCCCCACCTTCCCTTGGAACCCCCAGTGGCTCCTGATTCTGCATTTTCCCCCTGCCTACTGTTCAGGCTGCGAGTCTCTGGGATTAGTCCATAGAGCCTGGAGAACCCTGCCTCCAACTGCCATGACTGATGCCTCTGCCCTACTGCTGCCCACGTGGGTTCCTCTTCAGGAACCTTTGCTTTGAGGCAAATTGGGAAAAGGCATGGACTTTTCTGCTGGGCAAGCAGAAGTACCTTTGAGGGTCATGCTCTCCACCTGTCAAGTGGGCCACTACATGGGATGGGCTCCTTGGTGCCATCTGGGCGATGTATCTGAGTTGTTCACAGGTCATCTCAGGCCTGTCACTCTTATTCCTCTACCACAGCAGCCACCAGAGAGGGTTTCCTAAAACACAGACCTGACCGTGTTACTTCCCTGCTTATTAAAAACCTTGGTCCTTTCAAGAGACACGGCTGGTCCCATTCCTTCTGTCACCATTGTCCAGTAAGTATGTGCATGCCACAGGGTCAGCCTCCCTTATGAAGGGTTTGGATAGTGGCTGTCCCTTGTGCAGCCTGTCAGGGCTCTCGACCTTGGCTCTAAACAGGGTAGGGGCTCCCTGTGCTTTATTGTCCTACTGATAGGACTATTGTGACACTCCCCTACTGCATCTCCTCAGTTAGGAGACCCTTGTAATATCTTCCTGCCAGAAACCTCTAGGCTATCTGTGGCTCTTTCTCTCCCATCTCCACTCAAACTCAGTTTAGGTTCCCGCTGAGGAAATGATGACAGAGTGTCCCTTCTTGCCCTGCTCCAAGGGAGCTATGGCCCTCTGCTGGGGTGAGCACCTGGAGTCATACCTGATAAGTTGTTTGCCCCCTGCCCCCAGTTCATTGCCGGAGGAGAAGAACCGGAATAGCTCCTCCTTTGAGACCTGCCTGAGGCCAAGTGAGAAGCAAGAGATGGAGCCCAGAGAGCCAGACCCTGAGCAGAAGAGGAGCCGTGCTCGGGAGCGGAGACGGGAGGGGCGCTCCAAGACCTTTGATTGGGCTGAGTTCCGCCCCTTGCAGCAGGCCCTGGCTCAAGAGAGGGCCAGTGCCACAGTGACCCCTGACACATTCCCTGAGGCAGAGTCAGGAGAGCTGGAGCGGGAACGTGCTCGGAGGCGGGAAGAACGCCGCAAGCGCTTCGGGATGCTTGACACTGTAGATGGGCCAGCCACTGATGATACAGGCTTGCGGATGGAGGTTGATCGGAGCCCAGGGCTGCCTGTGCCCCCCAACCCCAAGACACAGAACGTCCATGTGGAGATCGAACAGCGGTGGCATCAGGTGGAGACCACCCCTCTACGGGAAGAAAAGCAGGTGCCCATTGCTCCTCTGCACCTGTCCTGTGAGGACAGAAGTGATAGGCTCTCCAGTCATGAGCTGACCTCTCTGCTGGAAAAGGAGGTAATGACTAGAGGCAGCCATAAGTGGACAGGTGGGTGGGTTCCATATAGCAGCCTTTCCTGAGCAGCCATGGTGCCTGGTGGTGGCCTGAGTGGTTCAGCTGCATAACACTGAGGGAGATGTGTTCCCTCCCCTCAGGGGCTGGCAAACCATTCAGAAAGATAGACACATGGGCAGACAGGTTCTTAAGAGTACAGTATAGTTGGTGAGAGGTACAGGAAGTACCAGCACATGCCAGGTAGCAGGGAGGAGGCACCAGATCTTTCCAGAAGGACAGAGTAGTTTGCCATGTGACGAGGGCACTGCCATTAAGAGTCAGGGGTGGCCAGAGAAGAGGATTGCAGAGCCCAGGTAGGGGCCTTGTGTACTCAGGCTGAAGAGGAACGTGAGCAGAGTTAATTTTTGATCCTCACTAAGCAACCCTGGGTCGAGCAGGCCAAAGCTGGAGGCAGAGAAGAGCCCCAGTGCTCACTCAGCACCCTGGTGACCTTCGATGAGACATGAGGGGGTGCAGGGCAGGCAGCAAGAAGCAGAAGGATTCTAGATATTTGAGAGATAAAACAGAGGCCCTTGGTGGGTGAGCAGGTGAATGTAACTCACTTCAGTCAGCATGGGCTGCACTGTGGAGGCTTTTTGTGGAGCAGGCCTCTCAGGGCATCTGGATGCAGAGATGAGCAGCCAGCCCCTGCATTTAAAGCATAATATGTTCCTTCATAAAAACATGTAGGAACCAAATCTGGGGAACTTCAGTGGGTTTATAAGTCTGAGCAGGGAGTTCCTGGCCAGAGAGCTCCCTTGGCAGTACCCCCGAAACAGTTTCATGGTTCCGATGTGTTCTTTTACATTAGCTAATTAAAGATTTGTCACTTTGGTCTGCCTTTACTTCTCTTCTTTTTTTTAAAAAAGAAACAAAACTTCTTTTTTCCTAGTTAATTAGATTTATGAGGCTATCACTAGCATGAACACTTTGATTTTATTTCCATTTTTTATGTTTGTAAATAAGATAATAAAAACAAGTAATAAAAACAAATAAGATAATAAAATAAAATAAGATAATAAAAACAAGGTAATAAAAACAAATAAGTAAATAAAAGTTCAGACTCACACTGTTCTCAGCTGTAAAAATGGGCCTGTTGGCCAGCAGACCACATGCTGAACCATACATTTATTTAAAGCAATGTCTGAAAGTCAGTTCTCCGCACCTCTCACAGCACATCCTGGCAGCGCCCCCCTATCTACTGTACTCCACCTCTCCCACTTCCCGCAGCCTCCAGGGCAGGGCGGGGCAGGCACAGTGGCCCAAGTGGCCCAGTAGGCACCTAGAGAATGTTTGAGGAAGAGATGAATAGAAGAATGAATGAATTCAAAACCATTGAACGCAAGAAGAGTGTGAAGTAGCTTGCTTACTTTTCGCATCTTGTGTAATACTTCAGGAATCCTCTTTGCAGACTTTTACATGGAATCCATTGTATAAAAGTAGAAGCTTGCCTGGGGCAGCACTGGACTTTCTGACCATGCTGGGGATGCAGAAAGGACCCAGTTGCATGAACTTCCTTCTGGTACAGGCACAAAGTCTCAGTTTCTGGTGGGGTCTGAGTACTGGAACCTTAAGCAGGTGTGAAAATTTTGTGGGCATTCAGGGTAACAGGTCCGCAAGTCTGCTATGTTATTGATATATACCATATTTTTCAGACTATAAGATGCATCCCCTACTCCCCCCAAATTTGGGAGGAATAATGGTTGTTAATGCTGCTGTTAAGTTCTGTTTACATTTACATTGGTGAAATATTTATGTTATTAAATATTTTAACCACATTTTTTGCTTCAAAATTTTTTCCCTATTTTCCTCTAAAACCTAGGTGTATCTTATGGTCCAAAAAATACGTTGTATACTTACAGTTGAAGCCTTCTGTTCCAGATGCTGCACTTCAGGGCAGAGTAGCTTATCCCTGACTTCTGGAAGGCCAGGGAGGACTCTGTGCTCAGCCCAGCTCCTGCCAGAAATGCCACTCTGGGCCTGCACTGTACTGCTGCTTCTGTCTGTTACTATCATGGTGCTTTAAAATGCATGTCTTTCTGCCAACAGTTGGAGCAGAGCCAGAAGGAGGCCTCAGACCTTTTGGAGCAAAACCGGCTCCTGCAGGATCAACTGAGAGTGGCTCTGGGCCGGGAGCAGAGTGCCCGGGAGGGCTACGTGCTGCAGGTAGGGCTAAGGGGCCACCTTGGTGCTCGAGATGCACTCAGGGCCTCCATGGAAAGGACCCCGGCAGGCTAGGAATGTGCAAAACCTGCCTGAGCAGGGGCCACTTCTCCCAAGTGCCGTCCTCTGGCTCCTCTGCCCCAGGACTGTGGCTTTCAGAGCCTGAAACTTCTGTATCTAAGGGTTTTTCCTTTGTTTTTTAATAAAATAATTTTGGTGGGGTTTTTTTTTCTTTTCCCTCTCAAAATAACCCAATATATATTTATTATAAATACCATACATTTGCAAGTCACTTCTAAGTTGTTTATTTAAAAAAAAAAAAAACAGTAGTAGGCCTATTTTACAGATTGAAGAAATTGAGTAACAGCCAGCCAAGTGCCTTCTTATGATTAAGTTAGTGGTAGATGTGGCAGTGGGTCCTCCTTCCTTTTCTGTGTCCATACCATACCTACAGGTAGACCTAGTCTATTACCACTAGCCCAATGGCCCGACTTCTTTCTACCTAGACTGAAGTTTGAGGGAGAAAATGTGGCCACCCAGCCCTGAGCCAGCCTAGAAGGGGAGATGAGGAGAGCCACAGCCTGAGTCCTAAGCTGAGGGCCCAAACTGAGTATCCACCACCAGAGATCTCTGTGCCACAGTCCTGCTTAGCAAGCAGATTCACAGAGACCATTGAGCACTATTGGGGGTGTCTCCCCAGGCAGTAGGTCAGCTGGACAGGGTGGGCCAGTGCAGGCTGACTGTCCCGCAGCATTCTAGGCCCTATTCTAGTTCTAGAGTAGAAAATAACACACTCCTGCCCTGTGGAGTGACGTGCTGCGGGGGAGAGACAACTGACGAATGAGTACTGGAGAAAAGCAAAATGGGGTGATAGAACAGGACTCCGCCAAAGCTGAGGACTCAGCTGTCAAGTCAGGGTTCTGGGTTTAAGTGTAGGCTCTGCCACTGACCAGCATAAGCTGGTGTCCCCTACCCACAGCAGTAGCTTCTCCTAGATTGTCCAGACTTACACCTTGTCCTGAGGGCCCTTCTGGCTCTCGGTGACTCCAGGTCTATAAATAGTTGCTTCGTCAACATTTTCCAGATCATCATGCCTTGGCTGCCTCCATCCAAGTTGTCCTGGGTACCTTGAGAACCCTCTAGGCAGAGTCTGCCTTCCTGCTGCTATCCATGCCATTTTTGTTGCTTTCTCTTTCTTTCTTCCATTTCTTTTTTCCCCAACTTGGACTGTGGCCCTGGGCGCCTGTGTGCCCTGCACCTTCCTCTCCAGCCCTTTCTGCCATAGTTATTGCTGTGCCCAGTTCAGTTATTTCTGTGCTCCAGGAGCTGGTGATGGTGGGCATCATTCATACACAGCTCACTCTGGGCTTTCTGGGTCATTTTTGCAGAACCTCCAGATCGGAGGAGCATCTTTTTAAACCTTGGTTGGGCCCCCATCCTACCCAAATTCACTTAACATCAGGTAGTAAAGATACTAGCAGCAGATTTTGCACATCTTAACCTCAGAACCTACCTCTGTGTCTAGCTTGGATGATTGCATGATCCTGCACCCAAGCTCTTATCAGTTGGCACTGGGCAGAACTGGCTTCTAAACACCTTCCCACTAGGTCTAATAGCAGGTTGCTTTTACCTCCCTTCACACTTTGGGAATGCTTATAATCAGAAGTCAGAATGAGCAAGGACTTTTGGGATTAAGGGTCAGAAGGAGTCTGCCCAGGAAGGGTACTGTGCTAACTGTGCTGGGAGGAGGAGCTTGCATGGTTTGGACTTGCAGTGGAGTATAACTTAATAACATAACTGAGTGTCACATCTGTGGCTTCCCCAGCAGACTGAGGCAGGCCAAATTCTTAGGCTGGGCTGTTCTCATTTTTGTTCATGTTCTTATTTTTTTTTTCCCTGTTATTAGTCCTGTCTAGTTTGCATGCCTTTCCTTTTGGGGAGTTTTGTTTCATTTGTGTTTTGTTCTTTGCATGCTTCTTCACAGTTTCTTATTTGAGTTCCATGAAGGTTTGTTTTGTTTATTATCATATTTTATTCCATGGTTTTTGTTTTTCCCTCATTTTATCCTCTTATAGGTAGAGATTAGTTCTTCCTGTTACTGTAGAGGACAAGCTCCACTTCCAAAAGGAAAATGTTCAGATGTCACCTTGCTGACATTCCTGAGCAGTTGCTTCCCTTCCTTCTCTCCCTGTCCTAGAAGGAAGTGACATCACTTGCACCCTGCCTCCTGTGCTTTTCTAGGGTTGATTGTCTAGAGCTGTGTACCTTTTGTTTTGCAAAACAAACAGATGCCCATGCACTACTCCCCTTTCTTTCCTTCCTGTCTCTTGTTCTCAGTCTTTGTTTTTGCTTACCTGTTTATTCCATTATTCTTTTTGTTTGGTTACTTCTCCTAGAAGCTATTCTATTAGAGTTGTTTTGATGTTATTATTCATGTTTTCTATTTACCTGGAAGCAACACTTATCAAAATAATTAAGATGATTTGTTGGATTTTTTTAAAATGAAAAAAATTGTGCCGAGGATAATTATCAGCAAACCCACCAAGGAGCTTTTCTGTGGTTGACCCTGGCCAGAGGTGTGACACTCAGAACTGGAAAGCCCGAGTGTTTCTAACTAGTGTTTAATCGGTTTTTTTAAGACTGAAGTGGCCACCTCCCAACCTGGTGCCTGGCAGAGGCTCCACAGAGTCAATCAAGATCTGCAAAGGGAGCTGGAGGTCCAGTGCCGGCGCCAGGGGCTAACCACCCAGCAGACCCAGGCCCCAAAGCGCAGCTACAGGGAGGCCAAGGATACAGTCCGACACCACGAGGCTGAGATCCACAGCCTTCAGGCGAGACTCAGCAATGCTGCTGCTGAGCTCACCATCAAGGAACAGGCACTGGCCAAGCTCAAGGATGACCTGAAACTGGAGAAGGACAAGGTCCATGAGCATTTGGAGGAGTGGAAGCACAGCAAGGCTACACTGAGTGGTCAACTGCAGGCCAGCGAGCAGAAGCTCAAGAGCACAGAGGCCCTGCTGCTGGAGAAGACACAGGCACTGCGGGACCTGGAAACACAACAGGCACTGCAGAGGGACCGGCAGAAGGAGGTGCAAAGGCTGCAGGAGCGCATCACTGATCTCAGCCAGCAGCTCAGCGCCAGTGAGCAGGCCCAGCGGCTGATGGAGGAGAAGCTGCAGAGGAACTATGAGCTGCTGCTGGAGAGCTGTGAGAAGGAGAAGCAGGTGCTGCTGCAGAATCTGAGGCAGGTGGAGGACAAGGCCAGTGCCTATGAGGACCAGCTCCAGGACCACGAACGACAGATGGAGCTCCTCCAGAAGGAGAAGCTTAGTGCCAGGTTTGAGGGCAGCGAGGCTGTGCACCAGCTGGAGGAACAGCTGCAGGTGAAGGAGGCCAGCATCCACAAGCTGGCTGAGCATGTCCAAAGCCTCAGAGACGAGCGGGACCTGATCAAGCAGCAGTTCCAGGAGCTTATGGAGCACGTTGCCCTGTCTGATGGGGACATTGCTGAGCTTCAGAAGAAGCTGAGGGGAAGAGAGGCAGACTACCAGAACCTGGAACACTCCTACAGGAGAGTAGCCAGCCAGCTCCAGAGCATGCACACTCTGCTGAAAGAAAAGGAGGAAGAGCTGAAGCACATCAAGGAAATGCATGAGAAAGTTCTGGAAAAGAAAGATCAGGACCTCAATGAGGCTTTGGTTAAAATGGTTGCCTTGGGGAGCAGCTTAGAGGAAACAGAAATGAAGCTCCAGACAAAGGAAGAGATTTTAAGGAAGTTTACGAAGGCATCATTAGAGGAAGTCGAGGAGGTGCAGAGCTCCCTGGAAGAAGCAGAAGAGGATGGCATTGCACTTTCAGGTCCACAGCTCCGAGCCTCAGGCTCATCTTCAGGCTTTCCACCCTTGAGACTCGAGGAGGACGACCCAGGGACTGCTCTTAGGGAGAAACATGGGCACAGCAGCCCTAGGACAGAAGTGAGCATGATGCCCCCAAAGTCAGAAGTGCCTGACAAGGAGGGGCACTCAAAGAACACAGCAAAATGTGAGCAGGGGGTACCCAGTGTGAAAAGGCAAAGAATCCGGTTCTCCACAATCCAGTGCCAGAAATACACTCAACCTGATGGGTCCGAGAAGACCTGGACCAGCAGCACGTCTTCTGACACTAGTCAGGACCGGTCACCCTCAGAGGAAAGCATGTCATCAGAGGCCACCCTGAGCTCTCTCCCTGCAGCCAGTGATTCTGACACCTACCTTTCCATAATACACTCCCTGGAGACCAAGCTCTACATCACAGAAGAGAAGCTCAAAGATGTGACAGTGAAGCTGGAGAGCCAGCAGGGCCAGAGTCAGGAGGCCCTGCTCACACTGCACCACCAGTGGGCCGGCACCGAGGCACGGCTCCGAGAGCAGCTCCGTGCCAGCCTCCTCCAGGTTGGCATGCTGGCCTCACAGCTGGAGCAGGAAAAACAGGCTAGGGCAAAGATAGTTGAAAATCACATCGGGGAGCTTGGCAATTTCCATGTAAAAAACACTGAGGCCTTGGCTTGCCTAGAAAATTGCCGCGAACAATTACGATCTCTGCCAGGGTCTGGCCAGGAGGAAGCACAGGAGGCAGAAGTGGGCCCCCTGGCCAGCATGGAGAGAGTGTTAGTCCACGCCATCCAGGCCCTACGTCACTGGCCAGCCCCTGCAGACAGTGGGGCCCATGCTCAGCTAGAGGAAGGGAGCATCTTGGAGAAAGGGAAAGAGACTTCGCAGCAGCCACCTCACCTGCCTGAACTGACTGAGCAGGAACAGCTCAAGCTACTTTCTGATCAAATAGCTTTGGAAGCCTCACTGATAAACCAAATAGCAGACTCTTTAAAAAATACAACATCAGATATCTCGCGCGTTCTCCAAGAGATTTCTCAGTCAGGGAGGTTGCCCCTAGAGTCTGGAAGTGCTGCAGTCTGTCTTGGGGCCACAGCAGATACCTGGGCTAAGAAGGTGCTGGTGGATGGTGAATTCTGGAGCCAGGTTGAGTCCCTGAGTAAGCACCTGGGGATGCTGGGAGGAGAGGCAGCCAGTGCATCAGGAGGTGAGCAGCAGAGCATCCCACAAGCCCTGGTCCCTGCCCTGGCAGATGCTACATGGGTCAGGGCGGAGCTCAGCTTTGCTGTGCAATCATTGAGGGAGTCATTCCACCGTCGGCTGCAGAGCATCCAGGAGACTCTCCGGGGGACCCAGACGGCCCTGCAGCAGCATAAGCACATGCTGGGGGAAATCCTGGGAACCTACCAAACCCCTGAATTTGAGAAAGTGATGCAGCAGGTCTCGGAAGCCCTCACGCTTCCAGCAGTCATTGCAGATGATGTGCAGGTGTCCTGGGACTTGAGCTCATTAGGAGAAGAACTGAGTCGTCAAGATGTAGCCAGCTCCCAGGAACGCTTTCATTTGTCTGATCAGAGCTCTGGGACCCTTGTTGCTATTCAGGAAGAACTCGCCCTGCAGCTTAAAGATAAGGCCAGCCTCTTAAGAGATATATCTGCCTCTTTAACTTCTTTCTCCACTGTGGAATCAGTAAGAGATTGTCAGAAGCTTCTTCAGGTGTCCCAAAATCTTTCCTATAACACGTATTTGGGAGGCCTTGGTCAATATTCTTCATTATTAGTTAAAGATGCAATTATTCAGGCACAGGTATGTTATGCAGCCTGCAAAATCCGGCTGGAGTATGAAAAGGAGCTCCAGTGCTACAAGGAGTCCTGGCAGAGCACAGGGGCCTCCTGTCAGGAGCATGAGCAGGTTGTAGGGGCCCTGAGGGAGGAATACAAGGAACTTCTCCAGAAGCAGAAGAGCGAGTACCTGGAAGTGATTGCTGTTGTTCAAAGGGAAAATGCAGAGCTCAAGGCCCAGGTCACCCAGCTAGACCATCAGCAGAAGTACCTGGAAGAAGTGGAAAGCAAGCACAGCGAGAACATGTTTGCCCTGCAAGGGAGGTACGAGGAGGAAATCAGGTGTGTGGTGGAGCAGTTAAACAGAGCAGAGAATACACTGCAGGCTGAGCACAGCAGAGTCCTCAGCCAGCTGGATGCCTCCGTGAGAGACAGGGAGGACTTGGAGAGGCACCACGTGGAGCAGATGCAGACCCTGGAGGACAAGTTCCAGCTTAAGGTCAAAGAGCTACAGACCATCCATGAGGAAGAGCTGAGGACCTTGCAGGTGCACTACTCCCAGAACCTCCAGTGCCTGCAGGAGAGACTCTGCCACTACCAGGGGCGGCCCCCGGAAACCCTCCTGGCTGGCAGCCCCCAGGAGCTGCCTGCCTCCATCTGGCCAGCCGACCAGTCCCAGGAGCCTCTGGAGGTGGCCACTGGGGAGACTGATTCCATGACAGGGCTGAGAGAGCGCATCCAGGAGCTGGAGGCACAGATGGACATCATGCGGGAGGAGCTGGAACACAAGGACCTAGAGGGCAACACAGCCACGCTGCGGGAGAAGTACCAGAAAGACTTTGAGAACCTTAAGGTTTTGAAGCATCGTTTAATTGTAAAGCAGTCAAGAGGCAGGCACTTGCCTGCTTTTGGGGGGCAGTGTCTGGTGCATTGGACTCTCAGGGTGGAGCTGGGAGATAGTTCTTGGCCCTGAGTTACTGTGTAAACAGAATGTGGTCAACATTCTGTGTATTTGACTCTTCACTTACCATGGTGTGGCCCCAGAGCAGGCCCTGGGTTAGGGTCTAGCATCCTGTTCAGTATCTCCTACCAGGAAAGAACTAGCAGAACAGGATCACTGGTGAGACAGGAAGTGTAGTCTCTCCATAGCCCTTCCACCTGCTTCTGGAAGCTGCTCTGTGTTCCCCCAGCAGGGGAAACCCCTGTTCTCCTCCTCAGCCCCTCACAGCCTCACCCTCTCCCACCCCAACTCCAGGCTGGTGCAAACCCACACTTAAGGAGAAGTACCCAGGATAGACAGTCCAGAGGCAGTCTTGAAGGACTGTCTTCTTAACTGTCCTAAGAGAACAGAGTTTGTGGTTCCCCAAAGGTAGGAATATTTGCAATATATTGTTGAGTCACTTTCCCATCCCAAATCTCTGGGGAACTGGTGTTTAATGGGCATTCTGTATCAGGAATTTAGGAGCAACTTTCAGCTATTGGTATTCCTTCTTAGGAGCTTTGAGAAATCATACTTTTCTTGTCACTGTCCCCCACACCCCTACCCTGTTTCACATTCTACCTCATTAGGCAGAATACCCAGGTCCTGGCACTCAAAGGTGACATTCCAGGCTGTGAAGGGGTTCAGTTTCTTACCCTTCCCCTTTATGAAGAGACACCTGTGTGTGTGCATGTGGCTGCCCCTAAGCTCACTGATGACATCCTCTTGAGCTTCTCACCATCTCTTGGAGGTACACCACAAACCGCCCAGGTCTATCTCAGGCCCTCAGTCTCCAATCGGGCCCCCAGTAAGACGACCCCCATGCAGCACAGAGTTAGCTCCCCACTGCAGGTGGCTGCTTTGCTGCTGTTGCCAAACATTGTGCTAATTCTGCTGTTCAGCAAGATGCATATGGTTTTGTTTCCCAGCAATTCACGCCTTTAGCTCTGAAAGAAAACTAGACATGTGTTCTATGTTGGCAGCATATTCTTTACTGATGACATAGCGCACTCATCTAAGACAAGCACATGTTGCTGCCAGCAAGCACCTGGGTGACCAAGAGGCTGTCTTCACTGCTCTTGTGCTTGGTCAAACCCTTTTGAAAACTAGTGAATTAAGAGAAAGCTTCAACAGCTATTTTCCAAATGTGCTCAAATGATGCCCCTGTGATAGTCAGTGCATGTCAGCACAGCATTCAGGTGGGCCTTTAAAAGTGATTTGCACAAACACTGTATCCTAATGCTTTCCCTACCCACAAGATACTAGCATTTCTGCATGGGCAAGTGATTGGGCACATACTTATCTTGAGTGCACGAGGGCCTGAGTGCCTGCTCCCCACCACAGGGACTGTTTACTGTCTGCTCCACCAGAGCCTCCTGCACAATGAGGCTGTTTCAGCTCCCACATCAGTCAGCTGGGCTTACATAAGGCTTTGGGCAAAGTGGTTGCCTCACACCCCAGTTAGCAAGATATCAGGAAAGAGAATACTGGCCACAGATGGTGCCAGGACCCAGTGTCCCTCAGTGGTGACATAGGTCCATGATGTTCTCATTAACACCCTTGAACACACAGAAATTAGAACCAGACAGAGCTCTTGAGGGGACCTGGCTAATGCTGTTACTTTGTGCAGCTTTTTGTCTGGGTTGGGGAGCCTGAGCCTTGGGCCTGATAGCCCCTCTGCCACAGCCACAGGCTGAAGCCTTCCCTCATGATTCTGCACAGTAGTCATTGAGGAACTTAATTATTGATCCCAGGGATTTTTGGCTTAAAAATCAAAATTTGTTTACAGAGAAATTATTTTGAACACATATGCTCTCCAAGGAAGCAACTAGTCTTTAAAGGTACCTCAGAGTTTCTGTGGGAAAAATTTTGACTGTTATTTAAATATTTTAAAGCACTCAAATCAAACTAATACTTATAAGATCTACTAGCTGTGTGTTAACCAAGAAGCCATATGTGAACGAAACCACACAGGAAAGATGACGGTGGGTGGAGAGCAGGTGAGGGGCCAGGAGACACAGCACCAGGATTCCCCCAGCTACCTTGTAGTGTGTGGGTGGTGAAAGGAGACCACCAGCTTCCAGGCAGAGCTTCTGGGAGAAGTAGTGCCCAGTTAATAGTGAACAACAGTTAAAACCATATGCCCAGTACAACAAATCCGTGGCAGTGATATCCAGATTGTGATCATGAGTTTGAAAATACTGAATAGAGAACCTCAGAAAGGCCTCACAATTACTGTGGGGGCTTAAAGACAACCAAGCATGGTAATTTGATTTCTTGGTATTTTTTTTCTTGAATCCATGTGTAAGAAGATCAACCAAATAATACAGGGTCAGAAGGAGGAAGTCCCCACTATACTTGCATTTGTAATGTAGCATGCCACATTTCTTCCATTAAAAAAAAAAATCACTGAAAGGCCTGGTCGCTATTCAGAAACAGATCTTGCAAAGAATTTAGACAGAAAGTGTGACTTCGTGCACAAAACAGCTATACACACCACCTCTTTGCATCTGTGTGGGACACTCACCTGCCCAACTGACAAGAGCAACTCTGATAAGCCAGGCCTGGGCTTTCCAGTGTAGCTGTGGGATGGTTCAGTCCCTTCTTAGGGCCATACCTGTGTCCTTCCCCTGCAGTTCCAGGTAAAAAACCAGCACAGGTTGTAATGAGGCATAGACAAGTTTAGAGAACAGTTTTTCTGCTCTGTGTCTCAATACAATCAGTGCAGTCACTAGTTAATTTGTACTCCTTCAAAAGAAAAAGAAGGAAGACGCAGGGTGGAAGAGAAAAGATCATATAGCCTAATGTAATTCCCTCATGGACACCAGAGAGGTTAAATGACCACATGAGGGTAGCCAGCTAGACAGTGGCAGGGCCAGGCCCCTTGGAGCCCTCCAGCTGACAGAGTCATGATTATGACTTATTTGTGAAATGCACTGGTGCTGAGAGCTACTCATTGTGTAAACTCAAACCAAACATGGCCAGCCTCAGCACACTCTCCTCTACCTCTTGTCAGTCCTTCCTGTAACTCTATCATGGTCCAGGATGGGCTAGTTTAGATTGCACTGCAGCCTCTTGCACTCACAATGCCAACTCTTAACAGGATTCAGGTCACACAAATAAGACAATTTATAGATGTAAGCACCCTTTTGTAAGTGCTTTCATAACATAAAATACTCAGTATCATCAGTGAACATCTCCAGACAGCCATTTGGTGACCCCACTGGCTCAGTGCTCGCCTTCAGAGAGTGTGTTGTCTGGAGCAGGCAGTGCTGCTGGCTTGTTAAACAGGACACCCGACTCAAAGAAACAAAGGATAAAGTCCCCTTTGTATCTTGCAGGCCACATGTGAACGTGGGTTTGCAGCAATGGAGGAAACACACCAGAAAAAGATTGAAGATCTCCAGAGGCAGCACCAGCGGGAACTGGAGAAACTGCGGGAGGAGAAAGACCGTCTCCTGGCTGAGGAAACTGCGGCCACCATCTCAGGTGGGAGCTGGGCATGGTGGCCAGTTTAACCCAGAGGGCAGGACAGATGGAGGACTTTTCCTGAGCTGAATTTACAGCTCAGAGTAATGATTGATCTTTGTGCTGTCTTTTGTTTGAAATTTAAGCTTCATGATCCAAGAAAATTCTTCTTTATTTCATTTTTCAATTATAGTTTACATTCAATATTATTTTGTATTAATTTCAGGTGAACAGAATAGTGGTTAGGCAATCCTATACTTTATAAATTGTTTCTCCAATATTTCCAGTGCCACCAGGTACTGTACATAGTAATTTCATTATTATTGACTATATGTCCTACACGGTACTTTATATCCTGTTATTATTTTGTAACTACCAATTTGTGCTTCTTAATCCCTTCACGTTTTTTATCCAGTCCCTCAACCCCCTTCCCATCTGGCAACCATCAGTCTGTTCCTTGTATATATGAGTCTGTTTCAATTTTGTGTGTTTATTGCCAATAAACAGAACAGAAGTACTGCCAGCACTCCTGCTCTTCAGGTTCCACATAAAAGTGAAATCGTATGGTATTTTTCTTTCTCTGACTTATTTCACTTAGCATAATTCCTTCTACATCCATGTTGTCAGAAACCAGTAAGGTTTCATTCTTTTTTATGACTGACTAATACTCTGTTGTATATACATACCACAGCTTTTTTATCCATTCATCTATTGATGGGCACTTGGGTTGTTTCCATTATCTTGGCTGTTGTAAATAATACTGCAGTGAGCATAGCAGTGCATATATTCTTATGAATTAGTGTTTTAGATTTCTGCAGATGAATACCCAAAAGTAGAATCACTGGGTTATAAAGAACTTCCCATTTTAGTTTTTTTATATACATTTTTTAAATTTTTATTTTAATTGTTCAATCCTCCCAATTTTAATTTTTTGAAGACCCTTTATACTGTATTCCACAGTGGCTACACCAGTCTGCATTCCCACCAACAGTGCACAAAGGTTCCTTTTTCTCCCCATACTTGACAACACTTGTTTGTTTTTTGATTTATTGATTATAGCCATTCTGACAGGTTGAAGTAATATCTCATTGTGGTTTTAATTTGCATTTCTCTTATGATTAGTGACATTGAGCATCTTTTCATGTTTATTGACCATCTGTATGTCCTCTTTGGAGAAGTGTTACTTCAGGTCCCCTGCCTATTTTTAAAATGAATTATTTCTTTGGGTGGTTGAGATGTCTGATTTCTTTATAAATTATGGATATTAACCCCTTATCTGATGTACCATTGGCAAATATGTTCTCCCAGTCAGTTGGTTGTCTTTTTTTAAAATATTTTTTTTAATTTTTAATAACAGTTGATGTATACAATATTATATTAGTTTTAGGTATATAACCCTGTGATTATTACTTATGGGGTGATCACCCTGTTAAATCTAGTACCCATCTGACACCATATATACTTATTACAATATTATTGACTATATTCCCTGTATTGTAGTTTATATCCCCATGACTATTCTATAATGAGCAATTTGTACTTCTTACTCCCTTCTCTTTTCTCACCCATCCCTAAACCTGTTCGCATCTGGCAACCATAAAATATTGTCTGTATCTCTGAGCCTTGTTTCGGCTGTTTGTTCATTTATTTTGTTTGGTTTTTGTATGTTTGTTTATTTTGGATTCCAAATATAAGTGAAATCATAGGGCATTTGTCTTTCTCTGCCTGACTTCATTTAGCACAATACCCTCCATCCGTTAGCACAAGGTCCATCCATGCTGTTGCAGATGGTAAGATTTCATTATATTTATGGATGAGTCACATTTCATTGTATATATGCACCACTTGTTCATGCATTCATTTGATGATGTACATTTAGGTTGTTTCCATATCTTAGCTATTGTAAATAATGCTGCAGTGAATATATGGGTGCATGCATGTCTTTTTGATTTAGGGTGTTGGGCTTCTTTACATAAATGCCCAGAAGTAGAATTGCTGGGTCCTTTGTTGTCTTCTCTTATCATAGCCTTTGTTTTAAAGTTTATTTTGTCTGGTATAAGTATTGCTACTACAGCTTTTATTTTAATATTTCTTTTTCAATGAAACATCTTTTCTATCCTTACTTTCAGATGTGTGTCTTTCTATCATAATTGAGTCTCTTGTAGACAGCTTATTTAAGGGTCTTGTTTTGTTATTCATTCAGCCATTGTGTGTCTTTTGATTGGAACATTTAAATCAACTTGCATTTAAATAATTGTTGACAGATAGGTATTTGTTGCCATTTTATTATTCATATTATTGATCTTTCATTCTTCTTAAAGAAGACCGTTTAACATTTCTTATAATACTGGTTTGGTGGTGGTGAACTTGTTTATTAGCTTTTTTTTGTCTGGGAAACTCTCTGTCTGTCCTTTGATTCTAAGTGGTAGTTTTCCTGGATAGAGTGGTCTTGGTTGTAGGTCCTTGCTTTACAGCCCTTTGAACACTTCATGCCAATCCTTCAGGCCTGCAGAGTTTCTGTTGAGAAGTCAGCTGACAGTCTTATGGGAGTTTCCTTGTAGGTACACTGCTTTTTAAGCAGAAAACTACTTTTTCTTGCTGCTTCTAAGATTCCATCTTTGTCTTTAACCGTTGGCATTTTAATTATGATGTTTCTTGGTGTGGGCCTTTTGGGGTTCACCTTGTTTGGAACTCTCTGTGCTTCCTGGACTTGTATGTCTAGCTCCTTCACTGGGTTAGGAAAGTTTTCTGTCATTTTTTTAAAGTTCTCTCAATTCCTTGTTCTCTCTCTCCTCCTTCTAGTATTCCCATGATGCAAATGTTGCCACACTTCAAGTTGTACCAGAGGCTCCTTACAGTATGCTCAGTATTTGGATTCTTTTCTTTCTGCTGTTCTGATTGGGTGTTTTCTGCCTCCTTATCTTCCAAATCACTGATTTGATTCTCTGCTTTATCTACTCTACCTACTTTTGGTGCCCTGTAACATATTCTTCTTTTCAGTTACTGTGTTTTTCACTTCTGACAGGTTCTTTTTTATGTTTCTATCTCCAGTTTTATGTTTCCTATGTCTTTGTTGGAGTTCTCACTAAGTACATCTACTGTTCCCCTAAGGTCATTGAACATCCATATACTTAATATTTTGGACTCTGCATCTATTAGATTGCTTGTCTCCATTTTGTTATTTCTTTTTCTGGAGTTTTGTTCTGTTCTTTTATTTTGGGACGTGTTTCTTTGCTCCTCATTTTGGCAGCCTCCTTGTGTTTGTTTCTACACACTAGGTAGAGCTGCTATGTCTCCCAGTCTTGGTAGAGTGGACTAATGAAGTAGGTGTCCTGTAGGGCCCTGTGGCACAGCCTCCCTTGTCACAGGAGCTTGTGTGTACCCTCTGTATTATAGTTGAGCCTTGGCTAGTGTTGTCATATCAATGGGAGGGATTTACCCCTAGGCTGATGGGCTCAAGGACTGACTATGACCATCATGGAGGGTCTGCTGTAGAGAATTCGACCCTCTTAGAGAAAAACTAACTTCACTGGGGCTCAGGTACCCACCAAGTTCAGCCCTTGAGTGCGTCGCTTGTGGAGGTGGTTGGTCTGAAGCTGTCTGCCTAGTGTGCTGGCTATGGGGCCTCTTGGGGGTGCTAGCAAAGGTCATCTGCCACCCAGCATAAATTACAAAGCAGTCTTCAGATGGCTGCTACTTATCCTGGGCATGAAGGTACCAGGGAGGGGCCAAGTTACAAACCAAGGCTTGTTGCTGCTAATGCTGAGTCTAGGACCACTTAGTTACAGGTATGGTGTATGCCAAGGCTAGATGCTGCTTGTGTGAGAGATTTCAGGACATTCTACATTTCAAGCCAAGACAGGCTGCTTGTATGGAAAAGCCACTGGAAATGGCTTTGGTGTGCCTGCAGTCTGGTGGTGCAGGGTCTTGGAATCCCATGTACAGGCATGGTGTTAGGCAAGTTGATGGAGACTCAGATATGGCACCTGCCTGCTCTGTTGGGGAGAGGACTCATCAGAGGAACAATGGCATCTGCCAGCACTTCTGTCGGGGAGAAAGCTGTCCCCTAGCTCTTGTCCTGATGTCAGACACTTCAGTCCCTCTTTATATGTCTCTAGTGCTTTACAAGCTGCTGCCCCAGCACTGGAGCTCAGGGAGTATAGTCCAAGTAAGCCTGTGAGGGCCATTTAAGAGGAACTGCATGGGACTACAGAGCCCTTTGTCTCACTCAGCCATAATCTCTGCTGGTTTTCACAGCCACAAGTTATGGGGACTTCTCTTCCTGGCGTTAGAACCCTGGGTTGGGGGTGGGGGTGGGGTGCTGGTGTGGAACTGGGACTCCTTGCTCCTCAGGGGGAACTTCCACAGCTGAGAGATCTCTCCTAATTTTTAACCACCACACATGGGTATGGGACCAGTCGGTTCCCCATCTAGGTCCCTTCTGCCAGTCTCAATGTGGCTCCTGTATGTATATCCCTAGTTTAAGACTTCTGTTCAGCCAGATTGCAAACTGTTCTGAATGATGGTTGTTCTGTAATTTAGTTGTAGTTTTGATGGGGTTGTGGGAGGCTCCAAGTGCCATGTTTACAAGCATTGCCTCATGGCCAGAAGCCAGCAGGTGTCTTTGTTTTGTTGTTTGTTTTATTTCTCCTTTTGTTTCCCTTGCCTGAGGAGATGGATCAGAAAAAATATCGCTAAGAAATAGGCCTATTTTTTTTCTAGTATTTTTATAGTTTCAAGTCTTACATTTGAGTCTTTAATCCATATTGATATTATTCTTGTGTATGTTGTAAGAAGGTGATCTAGTTTTATTTTTTTGCATGTATCTGTCCAGTTTCCCCCATACCTTTTATTAAATATAGTCTTTGTCCCATTAAATTTTCTTGCCTCGTTTGTCCAACATTAATTGACCTTACAGGCATGGATTTATTTCTGGGAATCTATTCTGTTCCATTGATTGGTATGTCCATTTTTTTTATCCTTACCCAAGGACATGCTCATTGATTTGAGCAAAAAACATC